AGCCTGGGAGGTAAAGTGCACAGGCTATAAACTTGGCCATAGGGGCCCAACCCAGCTCTAGGGGGAGAATGTTTTATGAAGAGGGAATCACAATAGTAATATATGTTTTTTATATATAACAAGTACAGTATACCTTTCTCCACCACTCAACCCAGCTTATTTTCTGACTAGGATTGGATATCTCCTAAATGATGTATCCACATTTCTTCTAGAACAGGGGTGGTGAACCTATGGCACACATGCCACAGGTGGCACGCAGAGCTGTCCTGTGGGCACGCGCGCCATCGCCCCAGAGGAAGGAGGGGCCAAGCTGCTCCCCTCCACCTGTCCACCTGCGCCTGCACTCTCGCTCTCTTTCTCCCTGCACTGGGAGTCAGGGAGCAGCTGCAAGAGCTGGGCGAATCAGGACTGGATGGTGGAGGCAACCACCCAATCTGCCATGACCACCATAGCCACGCCCACCCAATGGGCCACGCCCACCCGGCACCTGGCGATACATAAGTGGGTTTTGGATTGCAGTTTGGGCACTCGGTCTCTAAAACGTTCGCCACCACTGTTCTAGAATGTTTTATCTTATGGAAGAAGATAATTCTCGGATAGCAGACTGCAACATTTTGGAGCAAATCTGGAAAATCTATATGGTGCTTTCATGACACAAAATATTTATAATGTTTGTGCAAAATATTTCTATGGAATGCTCTTGATCACAGCAAGAAAGGCAATAGAAGTCATGAGGGTTTTTTTAACAGTAGTTTTGTTTTTAAACTTACTGGAAACAAATCTATTTTTAAAAATAATTTTGGATATTGAAGATCACTTTTATGCTATTCTATAACATCATGGAGAAAAATGTACCCTGCAGAGAAGATTCAATAGCAATTAGAAGTACTAACAAATCTCCTCAAAAAAGGAACATACTTCTGCATACTGTTAAACGAGTTACAAGATTTGCAGGAGTACATGAGAGACGCGTAAGAGTAGCACATCTTTTAATAGTCAGAACTTCTTAGCTACAACACTTTTTTGTCTAAGAGAAGTCAGATCCTCCACAAAACAGCCCTATTTAGCATAGGCCCAGTATCATCTTTATCATCAAAGGTAATAAAAGATTCACCAACATTATTGCTATCCTGCATAAACTTACTATATAGAGATTTGAACACAGGGTTGGCAGAATACAAAATCCATGAGAGGGCAATTGATTTCATTAAACATTTCCTAACTACACATACACTTTTTAATTAATATCCCAACCTTTTCTTAACACAAAAATGTATTATAGGTAGATTTATTTATACCCAATCTTCAGAATGCAACACTCTCAAGTAAAAGTTCCTGCTGGGTACCCTGAACATTTAACCTGTCAAAGAGTTGATTGAAATGACTAGGACATAACCGGGGACGGATATGGCCAGGCAACTGGTTGCTCTTGATGTAACAAAATTGACAGTCATTATCCACCAATAAAAAATTATGTAACTAAAGAATAGCAGTCTGGGATATTTACATGATCCTTAGTACAACCCCATACTCCTATTTTCACTTATTCCCCAAACTGTCTAGATATCAATAACTTGAGTTTACAGGCAAAAGTCTTCCAAATTAAATTTTCCTCACCAAACGTAAAGATCTTGCTTCTTTTTGGCTTCAAAAAATATGCACTTATTGCAATTCTTCATTTCACAGACCTACATAAAGCAAGAAAAACAATATTCAGACCAAAGAAGAGTATTTCATTGTTTTGAATCTAATATCTAGAATAAAAAAGATTTGATGGGTGTAAATGAAGCTCATTTATGTTGTTTTAGATAATGCCCAAGTTTGTAATTTATAATACGGCACAATGAAAGGTTTAGGCATAGGAAAAGCTAGAATTAAATTCCCACTCCACCAGGACAATCAATTAGTAACTTGGAAAAAGCAGAAAATGTATATAACTTACCTCATTAATGATAAATAGCTTGTCTTTCCTGTCCATTTTGGTATCTATAACACAAATAGCATATTTTAACCTTATAAATATGGAATTTATTTTATAGATTCTGAATACTCCCCTGAAATTAATATTCAAAATAAATGCTTTGACACATTTAGTTTACAGGTAATGCTTATTTTAAATTTTTCCTTAATACCTCTGTCTTCAAAGCAATTTATTGGGAAGAACTGTATATCTGCAAAAATGGAACATGTTTTATGTTCATATGTTGTTTAGCACACCGTCTGCTACTTATTCTTGTAAGGGCAGGAAAAAAAATCATAAGTTAGCTGGCTTTAAGAGGAGGAAGGAATATATCTATGTAACTACTCATTCACTCAGTTTTGTTCCAACATCTTTTCGGAAACTAATAATTCCTAGTGTACAGATTTGTGCAGGGTTCCATAAATTGAAGTAACAACCACCTAACTAAAAAGACAGAGAAGTAATACAAGCAAAATCACAAACTACCTGCTTTAGAATGAGGCATTAATGTACGCAAATCCTTCATCAGATGCCTTGTCCTAAAATTTATTCCTCTGGAAGAAAAAATGAGGACCCTCTCTTTGTTCTTCCATTTACCCTGGAAAACAGAAGCATTAGCATGATCCAGTTAAGATGAGACCAAATTAAAACATTTAACCAAAGCAGTGGTTTACAATAGTGGTAAATATTTGTAGCTCGGGTATAGGATGAGGGTGAAGGTTCGTTCTCCGAGCTTGTGGTTAAATACGCTAACAATAAATTATTGCATGTAGAAGAAAACAGTGCACTATGACAAAGTATCTGACAGAGGTTCATCTCAAACTGATGTCCCCAATTTTACAGATTTAAAAAAAAAACAATAATTAAGTATGGTCATGCCCTAACCTTGGCAACTTTTAAGATGTGTGGAATTCATGCTGAATGGGGAATTCTGGGAATTTAAATCCACTCATCTTAACATTGAGAAACACTGCTCTAACCTTAGAAATACTTTTCAAAGCCAAAGTCCAAGACTCCTTAAGGAAGCCTCCAATCACATGAAAATTTACTCTTACTACTAAAGGAAGATATTCGCCAATCCCTCCACACAGTCTCCCAAGTTGTTATAGGCAGAATTACCTTGGTCAAGACACCAAAAAGGTAGGATACAGAAGCATTAAAGTTTTTCATTACCCAGCTATTATATCAACTCGAAGAAAAGCACCCTCCAGTTTCTCACTTTACAGCTCACCCACAAGGCGCCCTCAGCTCACTTCCAAAGATGCAGCTTTGATAAAACTCATTCAAAGCTCAAATTCGTTCAAATATTATTCAACATCTATTAAAAATTTTTGGAGGAGGGAAAGACAGGCACCCCCGTTATACATTCCCAGAGAGACTTTGCACATGCTCAGAGGTACAGCGGCATTACCCGGACAGGAAAGACTCGGGTTCAACCTCAGAAAGAAAAGAGCTCAGAGGCATCAACACCCCTCCAGAAGCCCCCTTCGTGGCATCCACACCTGCGAGACAGGAGGAGGTATGTGGAACTCATCCTGGCCTTCCACGGAAGACGGACCTTTCTCCGCCTCCTCGCTCTCCTTCCCTTCCAAAGCTCCCTTCGCACGTTTTTCCTTCGGCCCGGCTGCGGTTGCCTTGCCGGCTCCACGCCGCCTCTTGGTTGCCGCCATTTGTCTTCCCCCACATTACCTCCCTTTCGACCGCTCTAGGATCTTTAGGAGCAGCTAAAAGAATTATAGAGTTTTCACGCTGGCGCGCTGAGACTGATGGGAAGGTGGATGTTCTCCTCTACCGTAAAGACTTTCGTAGAATGTATTATGTGTTTATTGAGTACCTAATAAACTTAATATTACAACAGGCTTAACCCGTGTTTTCATTTTTTTTTTAAAAAAACTTTTTTATTAAACTTTAAACCATCACAATATTTTTCTTAAATGAATGACTTCAGGTACTATGTATAAATAGTAATATAACTGTCCATTATATAAAAAAACTATATGGTTAAAAAAACCCTAATTTAATGTATAAAAAGAGCTATATAGTTAAGAGGAAAAAAACCCTGTACTGAACAATCTAAGAATCAAATTAAAACGGAGGAAAAGAAGGTGTTCGTTGTGCATGTATTCTGCAGGATTAAGGCGCAAAAAACGAAACAACCGCATCAGGTTTTTGAACTGGTAACGCTTCTAATTGTTGCCCATAAAACTCAGGCACCTGAGTTGGTCTGGATCTGGAAAAATACCTCCCTGAATTTGAGGGAGAAACACTCAATACCTTTGCAAAATGGCTCAGGCAAAGTGAAAGGCATTTATTAAGGGGAAACAACTCTTTATACAGAATATAAAAACAAATGATACATACATTTGAGCTGCGTTGCAGCAGAAAGCAACAAATCAAACAATAAAATACATAGAAAATAACTCCAAAGGAAAAAACATAGTTTTCTAATCTTCAAAAGGAGGCATACATTGTCATGCTAAATGATAATACCTGTATTAAAATAAAGCCTAAAATTCTATGTAACATCAACATCCAATGAATCCTTCCCCTCAAATTCTTAATGGGCATTACTCATACTGTATTAAAATTAAAAAATGCATTCGCACACTATTTATTGAACCAGGTAAAAAATTTAAACCCATTGGATATTAACATAAATGCTTTCCATGAAAGGGTCTATGCAATATTTGTAATAAGGACATTGTTTTAAATATTTCCAAGTACTATATCTGGAAACAAATTTTGATTTCAGACTCCTGAGAAACCCACCCCCAAGAGACGTGGGAGAAGTGAGGATGTGTGAGGTGGAACACCTTTTGTGAATGATGTTGCTATAAACTAAACTTGAGTCAGATAGTCTCATATCTCTTGCTTTTAATTGCTTTGGTTTCCTGTTCCTTGCGCCTCTTTTTTGCGCTTTGTAAAACGCTCCTAACTCGGCTATGGATACGAGGGCAGTTAAACCATAGAGAAATCAGGTCATAGAGAGAGATTAGCCAGGACCGGAAGTTCCATTCTGCCTCTCCATGAGCCGCTTCGGCAGGTCATAGAGATGCTCGTTACAGCATGTCGTAAAGCAGTTAAGCCGCTTTCTTCTCACAGTGTGGCGTCTGAAGAAATTCGTGGCATTGCCGGAGAGGTTATCTCATAACTAAGGTGACCAACCGTCCTCCTTTAGGGAGGACAGTCCTCCTTTTGTAAGTTCTGTCCTCCCTCAAAAAGTGTCCTCCTTCATGTCCTCCTTTTCGATATTTGAAGACTAATCTGCAGGGCTTTTTTTTTTCCCTCATAGAACGCTCAGAACGGCCTTCCAGCACCTTTTTTTGATGGGTTTTGTTTTCAACTTTTGCGTGAGCTGTGCTACTCCCCCTATTGGCTTTTGAAAGCCAATAGGAATTGCTGCTGAGCGCGCCAAAACATCCAGCTGGCAAACTTTGCACGTGCAAGTTGTCTGTATTATTGTTGCAATGAGTAAAATGTTTCTTTTATTTATGATATTTTTTTCTTCAATTTATTTGTGTCCTCCTTTTCATTGTAAAAAAGTTGGTCACCTTATCATAAACATCTCATATATACCATATATGTGTGTGCGCGTGTGTGTTGTGTCTCTCCCTCCCTCTCTTTTGATAGATACCTAAAGATAGATAGATAGATAGATAGATAGATAGACAGACAGACAGACAGACAGACAGACACTGTATATGATGCTATAATTCTTGTAATGCTGCAGGTGATGGAGTTGTCCAATTTATTGCTGAAGAAAAAGATTCTTGAAAGGCTACATTGTTATTGTGCCTGGAAAAAAGAATGTTAAAATAGTATAATTGCTGCTTAAAAACAATTATGCTGCATCAAGTCTTGTCTGTTTCAGGTAACTGTGTTTGGATTTTACTGTTTTTTCTTTCAGGATTTCCAAATTCCTTCTTTGTGCTCTCCAAGGAAGGCTTTACGAGAGCATAGGTGCCATGCCCTTCTCAACCCAACCTGAAATATGCAAAGAGCAGAATGTTCTGGTAGCAACTCTTGATAATGTTAGAAACCTCTCCAATATTTTGAAAGCCATTCATTTCAAAGACCACGCTACTTGCTTCACTTCATCAAATGGACTCAAATTCACGGTGGAAAATGCAAAGTCTTTGCAAGCCAATGCTTTTGTTCAGGTTAGACCACAGGATTTCTTTTCTTTTCAGACTTATGAGGAACTTTAGTTTGACTAAATAAATTAAATGAACGTGTATGACATCCAATAAGACTTCCAAAAGAAATGACATATTCTAATAATGAAAACAATCCTCCTGTAATTTCTCAGCATATCTTATTTTTAGCACAGAGAACTATTTAAGCCACTCTGAGGTGGTTGAGTCTGTAATGCTGTTATTCCAGCAGTACTTCTTGATACACATTTAATAACATATTGTAATTTAAAACATGTTTTTTCTATATGCAAGAGACGGTATTTTGAAAATAAAGAAATGGTTGTTGTGGCCCCGCTGTGTATGACTTTGTAGTGGGGTTTGTAATTACGCTTTCTTTAATCATCACAGCCTTGCCCTTGTGTCTGTTGTTAGTTATATATCAGTTCCATGTGTTGTTTTGTAAAACACTCTCTTCTGCTTGGTCATTCTCTTGTTAAACACCACTGGATTGCAGTTTGAAAGTAAGAGTGCCATTTTTCTATTACTTGGCCTTCACGTTTCTGGATTTGTTAATTTACAGGCTGGAATTTTCCAAGAATTTGTTGTGCGGGAAGAATCTGTGATGTTCAGAATCAATCTGTCCGTGCTTTTGGACTGTTTGACCATCTTTGGAACAAATTCTTTGCCAGGTATTGCTTGAGTTTACTTTATTGAATGATGCCAACTTGTTTCTTATTATTGTATGAAAATTATCCTGTGCTGTAAGATGAATTGTGGATTGAATTAGAAATGCCCCATATTTGTCCATATCAATATGCCTAATATTTACTTCCAAAGTCCTACTGATGGATTGATCAGGAGGGAACGCGATCATTTTTGCAGTTCATTTCATGCACGTTTATGGAAAAGAAAATCCCATTATGTTCAGTGGGGTTTACAACCAGCTGAATATGACCATGAGAGCCAATCTGGGGTAGAAGAATAATAATCATCAAGCCAAAAACCCTGAGTTCTAGTCTTGCCCTAGACATGAAACCAACAAAGTTACTTTGGGCCAGTCACTCTTTCTCAGCCATAGGAAATAGGTAGTGGCAAGCCAGTTCTGAAAAACTTTGCAAAGAAAACTACAAAGACTTGTCTAGGCAGTCAATAATAGTTAGTGACTTGAAGGCGTGTGCACACAAACACACACACACACACACACAAAGACTGTTATGTGGTTCTTCACAGTCAAGGCATAAAGGTGCTTTGGAAGATGTGCCCACTCGTACAGCTGTTTGCAAGCCCTTAATTGCATATTTTTCCAGGATCATGCTGCAGTTGCAAAAAGCAACGACATAGTCCTTGCAAGAGATGCAGCTGCTTTCAGGAGTTCTGTTAGTACCATTTTCCACTCAAAACCTTTCTTTTTTATTTAAATCCAAATTGCTGCCCAGCCCTACTGAATAGGCATAGTTAGAATTACAATATTGTAATAGGGTTTTTTTTCCCCATTTCAGGAACTCAAACAGCCCTTCGGATGTGTTATCAGGGATATGGCTACCCTCTAACACTCTACCTGGAGGAAGGAGGGGTGGTGACTGTATGTAAAATCAAGACTCAGGAGCCTGAAGAGATTCTCGATTTTGACTTCTGCAGTACTAATGTTGTAAATAAAATTATCCTGCAGTCAGAGGGACTGAGAGAGGCATTTTCCGAACTAGATATGACCAGTGAAGTGCTGCAGATTACAATGTCTCCAGACAAACCTTATTTCAGGTAGTAGAAATAATTGTCCTAGTCTGGTAATCATGCTTCAAAACATGGTAACTGTAATACTGAGCCCAGTGCAAACATATGGCCTAAAATTTGTATATGGGAAGTAAAGCTGAATAAACGTTTGCATATTTAAAATTCAATCTTGATTATGCTCTAGCACAGCAGTCCTTCACTTATCTAAAAGTAAGTCCGATTGAATTCCCGGGCTTTTTTTCCAATTATGTATGTGGAAAAATTGTAGCTGATTAGGACCTCTAATTAGCCAGTAGCAAAGCTATAGCTTGAGATTTTGGAGAGCTGCCAAGTCAGAGTAAATCAGCCATGAGCAACCTTTTTGCAACTGGTGTCAGACATTTATGCTTTTGAGGTCTTCAGAGGACTTAGTGCTGAGGTTGGCAATGTGAGCAGAGGCACCTGGGAGGAACCAGTGTACATTTTGGAATATGATTGAGGGGAACCAGAAATTTAACACTTCCTTTAGTGATAAAGAAAAATCTCTACAATTTTCTTTTTAATATTAGTAGAAGAACTGATTAAAAACAGAAATTACTAAAATTGATGAACTTTTATGTGGGGATGGTTCAGGAGCAGGATTCCTTGAACATTTGCAAACTCTTCTTGCTACTTAAAAAAGGAAAAAAATAGCTTTTTTTTTTACTGTTTGCTAATTTTTTAAAGGGCATAATGCATATCCCATGACTTTTGTTCTTTAAATCTCACTAATCCCAAAATGATTACTAATCCCATAAGTCCATCACTAGCTATTGTCTTCATTTCTCTTAATATCCCTTTGAAACAGTCAGACAAAAATATTTAGTATTTTCAGACTTTAATGCCAGACATAATTTTTCAGTAATTTAAAGTGTTAATTGCACATTCTTTGCTCAATTTTATCATATACCGTGTTCACATATGCAGTATTGCTATTTTTGTTATTCAGTCTGGTACATCTTTTCTTCTTAAGATTATCCACTTTTGGGAATGCTGGAAGCACTCATTTGGATTACCCCAAAGATTCTGACCTTATTGAAGCCTTTCATTGTAATGAAACACAAACAAACAGGTGAGTTATACCAGTACATTTACTACAAGGTATTACAGTGACCATTTGCATCATGCAATTGTTAATATTTATTTACACTAGACTATATGTCCCCCACCAGAAAGGTGATCAATATTACCTATTTGGAATGTTTGTAGAAGGATTGGCAATGTTTTCTGGTATTGAACGCCATTCATGTCATCTTGCAGATTCAAAACATTTTTTTAAATGCCCCAAATCAGAAATTATACTCAGAAATCTAACAAAGATGGCCAGTGAGATCTTGGATAATTTTTTAGCATTGAAAAAAAATAATAGAATTTATGCAATTTAGAATTGATCTATGGAGTCCTCAGTGCTCTCTGAACTTGGTTGTTTGCTTGCAGATGTTTCATTACCCAACTAGGTGACATCATTAGTGTGAGTGAGCGTGGGGTTTGCTCCCTGTTTGTATAAGTAGCTGTCAGTCCCCCCAGTTTTAGTTGGGAGTGTGGTTTTCTGGGGGAATTAAAACACATTCCCCATGCTGGCTGGGGAATTCTGGGAGTTGAAGTCCACACACATCTTCAGGTTGCTAAAGTTGAGAAACACTGTTTTACAGGGAAGCCACAAAACAAGATAGGTGTGTCCTTCCAGGGTGAAGTTGGGTGAATGTGTTAATCACACTGGGCTCATTTTAAATGCTGGGCAAATAGCGCTTGGGCTGAAAATAAAGCATGAGGAGAAAGGATGACATTCCACCCCCCATCCCCAATAATAGTGTTTGTGTAGGGTTGGGTTTTTTTTTTTTAACTCAGACAATGGCAGCCATTTATACCTCTGTTATACTTGATATTACGCCTTTCTTTTTTTCAGATACAAGATATCATTACTCAAGCCATCAATTAAAGCATTAGCTCTGTCCTGCAAGGTATCCATTCGGACAGATAACCGAGGCTTCCTTTCATTGCAATATATGATAAGGAATGAAGACGGAGAGATATGCTTCGTGGAATATTACTGCTGTCCTGATGAGGATGTTGCAGAAGCAGAACTGTAGCCATAATGAAAAAGTTACTGAATTAACCCCTGCAAAAACTGTTTAGTTCAAGATAATCGGGAAAGAAAAAGAACAAGAGAACATTATTCCCATTGTAACGGAAGTCAGAGCATCCCTGAGCCACTTAGGTTAGGATGGTGAAAAATGGAGATGGAGACAATAGGCTTTCAAGGAGCTGTTGTGATTGCCCATGGAGAAATGTATGTAATGCAGAGGCTCAGAGTCAAGAATGAAAAAAACCACATTTCCCCCCACCCACCCCCCAGGCAGGGGTTTTGCTTTGCTTCCAAAAGGAGAGCAGGGTAAAGCCAAATGTATTTTTATTTCAGTTATCTGAAAATAAAAATTACAAGGGACAACTTAAAGGAGCTATCTGTAACACTGGGTTTTAGATACCCAATAACAGAAACTAGAAAAGAGTCTCTAAAAGAGAGACTGATTGTATGGCAAACCATGAACCACTAACTGAACTTCTGGAGAAAGATTTGGCCAAGAAGCAAACCTGTTATCACATTTGTATCACATACTTCTCTACATTTCTAATCACCTACTTTGTATTTGAATCTAGAAAGCATCACAAGTTATGAATTGATACATTTCCCTTTTTATATACTGCAAAATACATTTTCAGAAATATCTTTAAATGTAGTTGTTGTTTTTTTGGTCAAGGTAACAGGTAATCCTCTTTCCATTTCTCCTATTTTGAAGGGGGGGGGAGATTCTCCTTTTTCAGGCTGCTTCTCTACCCAAGCAAATAGAAGAAAGGAATCGGCACCACCATTTTAGAGGCCAGGACAGAGAAAACTTTCAACAGATTATTAAAAAATAGGTCATCAATATGCTTGGAAAAATGACTCAGTGGGGTGTCTGTGGAGAGACTGGGATGGGGTTGGATGAAAAATGAAGAGGGCAACACAATTTATATGATCTGTCCCTATTTCAATCTTTTCTCATAGTGACTTAATTGGAATGTACGGGTGACCAGAAATGGTATTGGGAAGAGAAAACACTTTTCCCAGAAGAAAAAAATAACACGGAAGCCTCTTAACTAATTTAAAGAGATTATTCTAAAATTCAGTTAGGTGTAAGTGTCATTACAAGAATAAAGGTTGTGGACAAAATAAGCAACTTTTAAAAGTTATCCTTTCGTCTGCTTTCCACCCACCCCTGGAAATCAGCATCATTATTAAAAGCCCAAACCTAGTTGACAGGACTTAGTGTTACCACATATTGTAGCTGTAGTATCAAAAATTGCTGCTAATTTGTGGGTATCTTTCTAAAAAGGAGGAATGGAAATTAATATTAAAATTGTTGCAGAAATTTAATCAAGAATTTAGATGCCAGTATCTCATATATTAGGCAAGTCTTTCCCAGTCTCCTAGCCCTTTGGTGCCTAAAGATCTGGTATGGAGCAAATTAGTGCTGCTTTTTTATTCTGTTTTAAACATTTGGTCAATTTCTGTTCAGCAGGAAGCCTGCAGAAAAAAAACAAAGAAAATGTTACAGTTAATGGGCGCGTATCAATAAATTAATCAGTTAATCAGATTATATTGTTCTATTTCATTTGCTCTTTAACAAAAAATACATCTGGACACAAAGAGGTGAGGTTTGATCACAGTAGTTAACAAATAGTATGAGTGCAATGCAGATGTGTTTATTTCTATGCACACAAACACATGCAAATTGACTGAAAGTTCTGTGCACCCTTTTAGAATAGTAATGTTAAGAGTTTTGCTTGGCAGGGACTGCATGAATTGTCTCCCAGACAGATAGCTTCCCTAGCCCTGCTGCTGCAAAGCCTGGGTATCTATTGTGCATTTCCTCCTCCAGCTCTAGTTCTTTAAAAATATTTAAACTTACATATTCATCACAACTAGCAGCTCGTGTATCTTTTTAGTTTTCTTGTGGTGGGACCCATAAATGGCAATCTGAATCTGCACACACTGTATGGGTTCAAAATGCAAGACACAGTTACTTCCTTGTGGTTATTTTATACATACCAACGTCTTTTAAAGCTTTCCTTGAAATATGAAAAATAATCTTAAGACCAAGGCTGTGCTTTAGAGCTACTATAACATTACCTTTACTTTCTTGTTGCCAAAGCAACCATGATGAAGTTTTTATTAATAGACTGAACTTGGGGGCACTTGCATTAATAAATTTAAATGCAAACATTTAAGAACAACTTTGTGACACTTATAAGACTAGCTCTTAATAAAAATTAAATTCTGAAATACCATGAATTCAAAATGATATTCCTGCAACTATGAGATATTTCGAATTCAAAACATTTTGCAAACCAAAACATTTTGCAAATAAAAATATGGTCTTTTTATTCAGGCTGATAGTATAAGTTACTGAGCTTTATTCAAGCTGATAGTATTACCTTGCTGAGCAGCTGATAGGCCTCCCTTATTTTCTCCTCTGCTAGACAAATGCAGCCCATAATATATAATCGTTCAGCTGCCTGCTTATTAAAATCACTGCAGGGATTTTGTTGAGTTTTAAAGGACTCTCTGAGTAATTCATAGGCTTGCTGAAAGAAAGCATAAAAATATATTTTTATAACTTCTGTCCTCCAACACAAATACTTCACTTATTTATGCTCATTTCCTTTGGGTTTACTGTATCTTTAACTTACTCTTTATCCATCCATTCATCCACACATATCTTTTTGAAATATAGCCAGTCTTTTCTCTCTAATGAACAACTGATTATGCATCAGTTTAAAGCTGTAGCACTGTTGCTATGATCCTGCTAAATATTTGTCATAGTTTATGGCTTCTTATGTTAACCATCTTGAATTTCATGGCTCATTGATTATGTTCCTTGAAATCATGATGACCTCAGTTCTTGATACTGTACAGAGTTGAATTCTCCCAATTCAAAGGAGTTATTTATCCATAATGCTTGGCAAAAAGGTAAGTTTCCCCCCAGGGGAATAACTCTTCCCAACACAGCTGTGATCTTCCTCCTTGGTATAAACCCCTCATCCCAGTTGCTAATACAGGTGGGGAAAAAATCCATCTTATCCCTCCAAGCTGATTATTATTGCTGCCTATGCAGCCCTCTGTCCTTCATGCAGCTTTTGCATGGCCAAAAGTTACACAACTGTATATCCAGCAGATATCTGATTTACCTTTCTTTTTCCTATTTGCCCAAGCCACTTGCTGAAGACTTTAAGGGCACTGATTGTCTGAGGATGGTCCATTCCTAATGCTTCCTTGTAGGCTACCAAGCTCTCGTTGAAATACCTTTCAGCAGCCTCTAGGAAAACAAGTGTGATGTATTTTGTATGAAATGTATCTTGAAAAACAAATCAGGACAAGGAAGTTGTATGGATTAAGTTAAATTTCACTTTCCTTCTTTTATTCCATGTCATTTTGTTATGCCACAGAAGCATAAATTTATCAATTCATTCCTTTGGTTTATGTAGCTTTCTATCTCACTTCTACATGACTATAGGTCAGTGGTTCTCAATCTGTGGGTCGGGACCCCATTTGGGGTTGAACGACCATTTCACGGGGGTTGCCAAACAATGCAGTCCTCCATTTCCCCCTCCCCCTTTTCCTTAGCTGTGCTACTCCCTTTTATTCTATTGGCTTTTGAAAGCCAATAGAATAGACTGTCTTGAATAGAGTCTAATTCTATTGGCTTTCAAAAGCCAATAGGAATTGTCCAGGCTGTCTCTGCCCTACTGAGCCCGCCAAAAGTCCCATTCTGCAAATGGTGCTCCACCAGTTGAGTAGTCCTCGACTTACGACCGGTTGAGTAGTCCTCGACTTACGACAGGTTGGGGGTCGTGGCATTAAAAAGGTTGAGAACCACTGCTCTAAGGTAGTTTACAATAAAATACACAAGATAAAATAAAAATAAAAATGAAACACATAGCAGCCAGGTATTGTCCAACCAATCTTGTACACAGCCAGGAGACAGGAGGAGAAAGGAGTATTAAGTATATATTAGTTGTAAAGTCTTAGCAGGTCCGTTAGCCCAGTGCGCCTTATCCAAACAGACTCCAAGCCAGAAAGGTAGATTAAAATTGTTTTTTATTTATTTACGTAAGTAGAGAGGGTGCCTCACTGGCCACTCAGCCAAAGGAACAGCAACTTGGCTTTGGAGTGAGCCAGCCTGATTGGTTATAGTCATTCTGACACATCTCTGGCATTATGTATATGTACAGAAGCTTTAGCATGCAACACGTAATATCCCTTAATTTCTTAGTATGATCTTGTTAATGCTCATCGAAATATTCAAGAAGTGTGATTTTCCTATTATAACGCATTTGGAAGTCACCAAAGTTGAAGTCAGTGTCCTTGGCAGCTTTGAACCAGTTCTTATTGGGCTGTAAATTTCTCACTCATAGTTTGTTTTCTTCTTAATCTACTAGAAACAATCAAAGAACCTACCTAGTTACTGAAAACATTAAGCAGAAGGGTCCTCCTCTGCTGCTACCATCATATGTTTGCCACCTTGAGTTATTTTTAAAAAGACAGGGACTATAAATAAATATTTATTTATTACATAATTACCAGTGTGCTTCTCTTCTCCTGTGGCAGCATATGCCTTTCCCAGGAATAATGCTGCAGATCCAACTTCAGGGCTGAATTTCTGGTAGAGAGCTAATGAGACAGAATGAGCCTAAAGGAAAGAGATAGATGTTTCCAGTTCACAAAACAAGAGCTGTCACATGATATCTGGCAGTCCATTCCCTCAAATAGCAATAGCACTTAGATTTAGATACCCCTTCATAGTGCTTTACAGACCTCTCTAAGCAGTTTACAGAGTCAGCATATTGCCCTAAATCAGGGTAGGCAACCTTGGCTCTTTTATGATTCGTGGACTTCAACTCCCAGAATTCCTGAGCCAGCATGGCTAGCTCAGGAATTCTGGGAGTTGAAGTCCAAGAGTCATAAAAGAGCCAAGGTTGCCTACCCCTGTCCTAAACAATCTGGATCCTTATTTTACCGACCTCTGAAGGATAGAAGGCTGAGTCAACTTTGAGCAGGTCAGAATCAAACTCCTGGCAGTCGCAGTTAGCCTGCAATACTACATTCTAACCACTGTGCAGCCACAACTCTCAAATCCTGTTCTCTGTCCTAAAGTTCGAGTCCTAGTCTAATCCGAATGTGGAGGCTTCCCACAGAATCACAGCTTCGGGAGAGGATTTTATCTCAGCACATGTTCTATAGGGAGGGTGGAGTTTAATATCACTAGCAATGGTAAAAAAGTCAAATGCAAGAATGTGCTTTGTTAGTGGCTAGCCTTACTCTGTGAATATGCCAATGTGTGTTTCTTCCCACATGGTTAAACTAAAAGGAAGAAAAGAAAATATTGCCATGTTCTTCTTATCAAATAATTCAGCACCAGAGAAGATTTCTCAGGGGAAGAGCTGGGGATGGCAGCATTTACCAAATAAGGTCTCCTGCAAAGTGTGTGTGTATGTTGTGAGAGAAAAGCATCTATATCTATATCTATATCTATCTATCTATCTATCTATCTATCTATCTATCTATCTATCTATCTATCTATCTATCTATCTATCTATCTATCATCTATCTATCTATCATCTATCTATCTCTATCTTTCTATCATCTATCTATCATCTATCTATCTGTCTGTCTGTCTGTCTGTCTGTCTATCTATCTATCTAAATATCTGTATCTGTATCTCTCTCTCTCTATATATATATATGTATGTATGTATGTATGTATGTATCTATCTATCTATCTATCTATCTATCTATCTATCTATCTATCTATCTATATCTGTGTGTGTGGGGGGGGGATTTTATATAGGATTTCATATAGGATTTTATATGAAAAATATAAAATCAAAACCAGTCAAAACCAGCACCTTGAACTAACTCGGGGAAAAAACTGGCAACCAATAGAGCTGGCAGAGCAGAGGTGTAATGTGTGATCTAGAGGAACACACATAACTGCCTTTTTGCACCAGCTGAAGTTTTGCAACATTCTTTAATTAAGTAAAAAAAAATGTCCTTTACCTGTAATGCATATGAAATGCTTTTTTCATATATTTTTTTCATTTGTTTGATTTTGGCAATTTCCTGATAAAGAGGTATCAGTTCTGGAGCCACATCTCCTTCAGCTGAAATGAGATCATCAACGGCTTTCTCAAAATACTTGGATGCCAAATCTAATTCATTTTTCTGCAAACTTGCCCTAGGGACAAAAATAAAAATAAAAACAGCAGCTGGATTGTGGCGCAGTTGCCGAACGGTTGCATTTACTGGAGAGAATCTGGTTCAAGTCTAATTTCACTCAGAGAAGTTCCCTGACTTCGGTCCAGTCTCAAACCAAGCTACATAACATACTAGTTGTGCGAAAAGAACGCAAGGAAAGAATGCTACACATGGGGACTTTTGTAGGAAGTATGAAACATAAATCTAGGAAAACAGGTTTTTAAAAGATTCAGAGATGCTTCTGAAAATATTCTGTCTGAATTGGCACATCACAATCAACTGAGTCATTTTAAAGATATAGAATTTCAAAACTCAGAAAGGAGTCATTTCCTGGTCAGCTTAGGTCCTAATTAACATTATACAACCACAGGTAAGTTTTGAGTTTTACCTTAAGCAAACCAACATATCTAACGCAAACCTAGAAGCTAGGATTAACATGGGTTTAATTCCTTTTGCTAGCTAACTTGCACAAAACGGGTATAGATCATCTCTGCATCCCATAAATTTGTTGGTTTATTTTTAACTTTTATCCTGCAGATACAAATTTTTAGTAGGAAGGCAGCTGAAATTTGGCAACATTGCACATTATTGAAGTGGCTGCAAAAGCAAAAAAGGATTTTGAAAACTACAGATAGTCCTCAACGTACGACCACAATTGAGCCCAAAATTTCCATTGCTAAGTATGACTTTTGTTAAGTGAGTTTTGCCCCATGTTAGAACCTTTCTTGTTGTTAAGTGAATCACTGCAATGGTTAAGTTAATAACAAGGTTCTTAAGTGAATCTGGCTTCCCCATTGACTTATGACTCCAATTGTCATAAATATGAGTCAGTTGCCAAGCATCTGAGTTTTGATCATGTGACCATGGGGATGCTGCAGTGGTTGTAAGTGTGAAAAATGGTCATAAGTCACTTTTTTCAATGACATTGTAACTTGGAACAGTCACTAAACAAAATGTTGTAAACTGAGGACTACCTGTATATATGGCCCATCGATCACCTTTGTCTTTATTTTATTCATATAATGCATCTGTGTCTTTATTTGTCGGTCCACCTTCAAACAATTTTTTGCTTACCTGCCAAGTGCCACCGTAATGTCTTTGTGACATACTTTAAGTTTAGCAGCTCTTTTCCAATCTAATCCCTGTAGTTCTCCCAGACCTTTTTCAGCCTTCTGCAGGTTGCAATAGCATTCTTTGGCAGTAGAAAAGTCAAGGAAAAATCAATAATGGAAGTACATTTAAAGCAAGCAAGGAAACAAATAAAAATAACACCAGAGGAATTTGCACTGTTGATTTGAACTCCAATTATTTTGGCAGACCTGAAATTATTTTTTCTTCCTACACATGGCTTGGCAATTTATGCTTTCTAGTTAATGGCTACATAAATCATTGTATCCTGAAGCAGTGCTGTTCTGGATCAGCCAGTTAGATAGGTCTATATGTTAGAATGTTTGGCATTTATAAGGTTAAAGTGCTATCTCCTTAAGAGATGGCTTATGGGTAATGTAGTTTAGCTATTCAGTAAATTCCATGTTAACAGGTCAGTAGGAGGGGCTACTAAGTTCATATCCTGGCTACATGCCAGTTTGGAATGTCTTTATCTGAGACAAGCATGGGATCACCAGAGGACACACATGGTCTGAACCCACACTAGAAATTGATGTGAAGGAATTATTGATTATGGAACATTCAGATGAAACTACCAAGAAATGTGAGTTCAACAGTATTCCTGAATAAATATCTGTTTTACAATTATCTTTATTGAGTCATCTGTCTGGCCTTGGATTACAAAGCATCTTGATTCAGGTTTCAGAACAAGTTGCAAAGAATCAAACTTTTGAATGATGCTGGTTGTTGACTTTGACAATTCATTTATTCTTGAAGCTGGTGACAGACATTTGGTGCCTGAATTTACATAAGGAAATTCAGTATAAAACCTACTGAAATGAAAGGAAGATGCAGGCTAGCACAGCACATTCCTCCATAGACTTTGATGTTATGCCTAAAAATTGCCCTATTTATATCACATTTTAGATTTGGGGCCCTTTTGGATTATCAGCCTTTTCGTTACCCAAGTCTTAAACTCTACACAATTTAAATACAAGAGAGCAGAGCAGACAATGAGTTTGCAGATAAATCACGTACATACGCAATGCTAAAAGACAACTCTGGCAAATGGTGGTCAGGTGGCTGGGGGAGGGAACACAGAGTCCATTGCGACAACACAAACACTTTGTGCTACGTTCAGAGCCCCCTGGCAAGGGGACAACAATATAAATTGAACAAACAAGCAAAGAAATAAATTATTCTGATGTCCAAGGCACCACACGCAACCATCCCTTAGAGAGGAATGGCAACAGAATGACTCAAGACTTTCTCTCATGTGCAATAGGACAGGTCTGCATAATGCTAAGCCTCTCAGATCTGGGTTGTAAAAATTTAAGAGATTAGTAGAGGGCAGCAAAGAGCTAAACGCTTTCTGCATCTCTTTGCTGCCCTCTACTGATTGCCAAATCTGTATACAACTTCTGATTTCTGTGACTCACTATGGCTTCCTATGCAAAGGGCTAGATTCTGGATTGGGTGAGTGGTCATTTTGTAGCAGACTCCACCCAAAGTTTTTCTATAGACAGAAAGGCCTGGCTAGTGCTTCAAACAGACATCCTCCCTACCCTGAATGAATTTATATGTCAGGCTCCAAAAAGCAAGGAAGACACACTGAGTATCTTCTACACAGTTTCCTTGTTTCTCACTTATAGACAGAAATCTTGCCAAACTAAAGCAAACTACTTGCATCGTTATAGATACACTGTGAGAACACCTAGGGAAAAGCTGCTTGAGTGTTTTCCTTTCAACCAAACTATCTAGTCTTTGCTGCCTTTTGATCTTCTGGAATGCAGCCCCTCCCTTCTGGGAATCCAGACTACATTCCACCCCAGTATGTATTTATTTGGTTAACTACATATATTTTTATATTGCCAAACCATTACATTCATATCCCAGCACTGGTTTATTCCACAGAGGGAAAGACTCTGAGCCATCAGCTGTGCAAAAGGATTTATTTATTCTTCCCATAAGCAACTCCTTTGCTCTGGCCATTGGCAAGGATATTCTTTCTGCATCAGATTTGCCATGCCCAACGTGTAATAGATTGTCACAAGGGTGCTCAAAATGGTTCCTTTCTCCTCTGAGGATGCTGGAGAAGTATCACCCCTTAGGAAGAGGAGGATATATTTTGCCGAATTTGCATGGTGTATAGCTTGACTCGGAAGACCTGGAATAATTAATAAAATTACTGAACAAAAATAGAAAGACGCGTAGAGTAGCCAATCCTACCAAAAAGTTCAGTGAATTCATTGGCTTGGGTTTTAGTACTGTATGCCTTTGATGAAAATATAGAATAGTCATTAGATGGCAGGATTTCAACAGCCAGCTATTTCCTCCCAACTCCAGCAATACATCCCTGGAATGATCACTGCTATGCATTTGAAGACATGCAGCCCAATCATCAATCTAGTAATTTTCTCTCTTGGTTCAGGTCCGGTTATTTAGATTTCAGCTTCTGGGTTGCTGTTTAGTATTTTCCTTTCCCTGTTCTTTTGTTGTGGTTGTTCTCTGTGTATTCTTGGAGTTGCCTGCACCTTTTTTCTTCTCCTGCATTGCACTTGCCTGTGACTCATCTTAGTAGGTGCTTGCTAATTTAAAAGATTTCTTCTCTTAACATCTGAGGATTGTTGTTTTCTTCCACGGCTATCCTTGAAAAATGTCACGGTTCCTTATAAGGTGGGGAGAGGAAGTCATGATGTTATTCAACTCTGATTCTAGGTGAAATTTGAGAAAACTCAAATCAAAGTTGTCCACTGCCTACAGTTTGCTACTGGCTTTTGGTAAGAGGGGAATCTGATATTTGCCTGATTGGTAATGTGCATTTGTTTTTGTGCCATTTGGTTTATTGATACTCAGCAAATATATTTAGTTCTCATACATACTAGAGCAGAGTTTCCCAACCTTTCTGGCTTGGTGGCATGGAGGGAAATGTGCACGTGCAGCCCTGTGCACACATGAACAAATGGGCACACGCGCAATGGTGGCGCTAGCCTGCACACACATGTGCAAGTGGGCTGCGCATGCCCATGGTGCACGCGCTGATGCCTGCATGTATGCACAAATGGCCACTGGCACCCATGTCATGCTGGCAGCAGTGATAGCGTCCCTGCACATGTGCAAATGGGGCTGCTAGTGCCCATGTGGCGATGCTACCGTAAGTGGGGTAGGGCTCACCAGATATTCCCAGGGCCGGGTGGCCAACAGGCTGCAGCCCCGTACCAGGCCACGGACCATAGGTTGGGGACCCCTGTACTAGTGTCTCAGGCTAAAGACCGTAGCTGATGGGCACGAGGTATTAATTAATTTCCCTGGTTGATTATGTGCCATTAAGTCACATAATAGCAGCCACATAGAGCCAGTTTGGTCCAGTAGTTAAAACATCAGGCTAGAAACCAGGAGACTGTGAGTTCTAGTCCCATCTTAGGCATGAAAGCCTGTTGGGTGACTTTGGGCCAGTCACTCTCTCTCAGCCCAGCCCACCTCACAGGATTGTTGTTGTGGAGAAAAGAGTAGAAAGGCATATTAGAAATGTTCATTATCTTGAGTTATTTATAAAAAAAATAAAATAGGGAGAAAAATAAAATAAAATAAAAATAGACCAACCATTATTTGATCAACTGCTATGTGTTAGGCAAGGTAATGTTTCCAGGACAGGAGGAAAATGGGCAATTCTTTTTGAAATATATCGGAAAGGGGATGCTGTTGGTGATTCAGTGGGTTATTGCTATAGAAAGTATTAATAGTTACTATTTGGTATAAGTAAAAAAAATATACTATCACTTTATTAGGTACTACACCAAAAAATATACTGTTTTTTGTTTTTGTTTTCCTCTTTCCTCATTTTACCCCCTCTATTCTTTTCCTTCCCTTTTTTCATTGTCTTTATTTATATTTGCATTTTATATTAAGAATTTTTTTAAATGAAAATATTTTTTTTCAAAAAGAAAGAGGATGCTGTCAATGACGTTAAAAGGAATGAAATCAGAGTCCGGTGGCCCTTTTCTGACAGACAAAAAAGGTTATGCTTATTAGAATTAGAATAACAAAGTTGGAAGGGACCTTGCAGGTCATCTAGTCCAACCCCACCGCCCAAGCAGGAAACCCTACACAATTTCTGACAGATGGCAGTCCAGCTGTCTTTAAAAAGCAGTTTGTGCAACTCATGAAATTCATGAAAGCTTGTGCCTTTTAATAAAATACGTTGCTTGGAAAAGGGGCTGCCAGATTCCTGATTTTTTCCCAGTATAGTAACAACTACCACATGTCTCTTCTTATGAGTAAGAGAAATGGTCGTAGCTTCATGGGTTTGGGCCCAATCTCTTTCATCTTGGTACTCTTCCAAAATTTTAGAGTACAACTCCAGTCATTCCCAACAAAATGAAAGAAAATGAAAGCATGCAAATCACATGGCTAGGGCCTGGTCTCAGAAACAGAGCATCCATAGCATTTTAGACCCTCTTTTTTTCTGGAGGGATCATGGCAAAAAATGCCTTACCTTGTAGGATAAGGTAACTGTGAGCGAGATTGGCAAGAGCTTCTGCTAGCCTCCAATGCTGGTTTCCATAGATAATTCTAGTGAGGACTGTGCATTGCATCAGCTCCTTGCAGGCTTTATGTACCTGGGGAAGAACATATATGTGGCTGATTTGTTATTTCAGCTATAACTACCTGGCATACACATAGAAATGCTACTCAGTTCTGAGCTGAAACACAAATATTACAATTCTGGTTATTTTCAAGGCATAAATGATATGGCAGTTGCATTCTTTTCTCACTTTTACTGAAATCAGGGTTGCAGCTTGCTTGGGTGAGTTTAAGTTTGCACCGGTAAAAGAAACAGGGCTTAGCCTTAGAACAAGCTGTCATGGCTAATATTTTGACTTTTTTTGATTGCTCCCTCACATATCATGGTCAGTCCTACAAGGTCTGTATGGCATATAAATCTTTGGTGCTTTCATTTCACCCTCATTTAAATATAGAAACATTGATTTGGAAGGGACTCTTCATGGTAATACATAGACCAGACCAGCATTTCTCAACCCTGGCAATTCTAAAAAGTGTGGACTTCAACTCCCAGAATTCCTTAACTAGTATGATAAATTCTAAGCTGGCTAGGAAATTCTGGGAGTTGAAGTCCACATATCTTAGCCTTACCAGGGTTTGAAAACTCTAGTTTAGACACTGAGCTCCTACCCCAAATGCCTGAGAATGCAGATGTTACTTCTTGATGATCAGAAGGTGGTTTTCTCTTGGTCTAGTTTCATTACACTGAAGTGCAGATTAAAAGTGGTTTTTCCTGCTGAATCTGACAGCATCCCACCATAGCAATAAGGTTGTGAAATGTATGCCGCCTTGCAGACATTTTAGAGCATATACTGTAAATTATATAGCTGCCATTTGGGTGTTGCCAGATATGTGAGTATATCCAAGGTGTAGCTTGACGACACTAACAAGGGGGAAGACAGCCAACTTCAGAGGGGCTGGGAACTGGGGAGTATTTTAGCACAGGCCACCAGTACCTTGACACTGAACCACCATAAACACTACAGAATCAGGTTGGATTTTACACTTTGGATGAAGAAATTGACGAGGGCCATCCCTTTTGCTGATACAAGGGAAGTGGTTTGCTCATCCTTTAAATTAGTAGTGGGGAAGTAAGATTTTCAAAACTGGAAGCTTTAAAAATATAGATGGAAGGTTAAAACAAAGTATGGTTAGAGGAATTGGGTATGTCAAGTTTAATGACAAGAAGGACTAGGTGACATGAGGGGTTGCCACTAAGAAGAGGGGGGTCAAGCTATTCTCCGAAACATTGAAGGCAGGACAAGAATCAATGGATGGAAACTAATCAAGGAGAGAACCAACCTAGAACTAAGGAGAAATTTCCTGACAGTCAAAACAATTAATCAGTGGAACAACCTGCCTCCAGAAGTTTTGTATGCTTTAACACCGGAGGTTTTTAAGATGAGATTGGACAAACAATTTGTCTGAAATGTTATATGTTTCCTGCATGAGCAGTGGGTTGGATAGAACAGGGCGTTTCAACTGGTGGTAGGTGTACCACTGTGGTACTTTGGCACCTGGCAGGTGGTATGCGACTTAGACAAGTGTAGCAAAGGGGATGAGCTGAAGTGGCAGCACTGCTGATGAGCTGACGTGGAGGCAGCACCAGAGAGGCCTGGGGGAGAGTCAGCTAAAGCTATGATATTCCTGGAGCTCTGCTGAGGGCCCAGGATCAGCACGTGCAGGTCCAGCTGATTGGCGCTTTCGGCAGCCTCTGCTATCACTGGGAGAAGACAGGCCTTGCAATGAGAGAATCAGCTGAAGCTGCTGGGGCAAAGCAGAGACCTCAGGATTGGCACATGTGGCTACATGCTGATTGGTGTTTCCAGCGGACCCAGAAGAGAAAAGGAGGAGGAGTGGGGAGAGAGGAGACGATATAAAAGGAGGAGGTTTTGGCGGGAGAGGGAGAGGGGAAAAAAGGTTGATGGGGAAAGAGAGAGGAGAAGAGAGAGGCTTCTGTGAGAGAAGCAGTGAGGAGAAAGAGAAGAAAAGGAAAAGCTTCTGTGAGAGAAGCTGTGAGAGAAGCACATACCCCTTATTCTACCAATATGAATTTTGCAAATTTTTGCCACCGGAGATGAAATATGGTTTATTTTTTTAAAAAAGCAACTGGCACCATTTTCCTGATGAAATTTAACCACAAATCTGGTCCTAGCATCCGTTTTAGCTTTTTGGTTGAAAAAATGTTTTGGCCTCGTGGCTTATTCTACTAATATAGAATTTATGAATTTTCATCACCGGAGACGAAATATGGTTTATTTTTTAAAAAACCAACCAACACCATTTTCCCCATGAAATTTAACCACAAATCTGGTCCTAGCATCAGTTTTAGTATTTCGGTTGAAAAAAAATTTGGCCTTGCAGCTGCACTAACCGATACGAATTTTATGAATTTTCGTTGCTGTACATGTAATATGTTTGACTTTTATGGATTTTTGTCACCAGAGATGAAATATGGTTTATTTTTTTTTTAAAAAAGGAACCAACATCATTTTTCCCAATAAATTTAACTACAAAATTGATACTGGCATCTGTTTTATTATTTCGGTTGAAAAAAATGTTGCCCTGCCTGTCTCCCACAGCTCTGACCTTGGCAAAACAAATGTTATGAATTTTCGTCAATGGTTTGTTTTTTAAAAAAGAAAACAACACTATTTTTCCCATGAAATTTAACCACAGATCTGCTACTAGCATCCATTTTAGCATTTCGGCTGAAAACAATTTGGCCTCACAGCTGCATACCCCCTATTATTCTACCAATACAAATTTTATGAATTTTCGTTGCTAGAGACAAAATATGTTTGAGTTTTTAAAAAGGCAAACAACTCCAGTTTTAAGCATGAAATTTAACCACAGATCTTCTCCTAGCATCCGTTTTAGCATTTCGGTTGAAAAAAAAATTGGCCTCCCAGACTCCCGCAGTACACCTTATTATGTTTCTCTTGTACCACCATTAAACTTATATCAACCCCTTACTGTTCAGTTGCACATAGCTATGGAAACAAATGCAACATCATACCTCTCTTTCTTCAGTAAACTTTTCTGCTCTTTTCTGTGCTTCTGTCAGCTTAGCTACTGGAGTGGCCATCAGCTGGGCCCACATTTCTTGATCTTCCACATTGGTATCCATTCTATCATAACAGAATAACAGAATAACAGACATAGGACATATTCCAACGCCCTGTTCAAGCAGTAAACCCTATAGCATTTCAGACAAATGGTTGTGCAGATTATCCTCTCCATCTCCCACCAAATGGGCATACTTCCAAAGAAAGCAACTATGTGCCATCAAACTGGTGCTGATCCTTGGCAACTACATAGATATTCCCTATGATCTGTTCCTGACCTAATCCTACTGCTCTTCCAACTCATCGTTACTGTAACTGAGTCCATCTACTTTGCTGTTGGTCGTCTCTTTCCTTCTACCTTTCCCAGCATTAGAGTTTTCAGAAAACTGGGCCTTTGCATAAGTATCCAAAATGTGATAATTTGTTCAAAGTATGTTCATTTGAACCTGATCATTTGTGAGAGTGAGAAATCTGGGGTGATTTGTTCAATGATTCATCAGTTGGTTTGCTTGGCTGTCCATGATATTCTCAGGCATCTTCTCCAGCACCAAAGTTGACGTGTTCAATACTCTTCTTATCAACTTATACTTCCATAGAATGTCACTATCATAGGGAATACCATTGTTTGCAATATTCTGATCTTTGTAGGTCTACACATCACATATTCTGAATATCCTTTTCATGGCTTTCATGGATGCCCAGCCAAGTGCAAGACTGTGGTGTATTTCTTGATTGCTTGTTGCTATTCTGTTGATGTTGATCCTAAAAGGCAGAAGCTGCCTACCACTTTGATACCTTCATTATAAATTATAATCTAAAGAAGGTACAGGGCTGTATCTTATCTTATATTCAATAAATGCCTCTGAGGTCTAAGTTGGATCCATTGCTTTGCTTTGGTATACTATTTCTGGATCTGTTTTAGCTGAAAGAATTGGGGGACAAGCAGGTGGGTAGCCTAGGCAATTGAGACATGAAGTGCTGGACAGAGTGGTGTCCCCCTAAATGCTAGCAAGAGTATGCATCTACTATCAATGTTACTTAAATGCACAGGGAAAAACTGCTAGAATGTCTAAAGTCTCACTGAAGAGCTAAATGATTTTTAATTATCTGCTATAAGAACTAAATAAATATTATTTTGTATTACAACTATCATCTAGAAGTTGGTAGTATTTTCCTATGGAAGCTGTTTTCCTTCCATTCTTTAAGAAGATAATTCTAATCAAAGCAAATTCACCACTGATTTTGCCAGCATTTTGCTTTTCCTTTAACATGTAACTTGGTTTGTTAGTTTGAGTTTTCTGTTCTGCCAGGACCTCCTTCTTAATCATGAGAAATCTGAATTGTGGAAGTTGCTGAAGAGAAGGCTTGAGTTTTATAAGTGAAAAGATAAAGATAATTTAGTTGTCACACAGCTTGGGTTTAATGCTTAGACGAAGGAAGGAAGGAAGGAAGGAAGGAAGGAAGGAAGGAAGGAAGGAAGGAAGGAAGGAAGGAAGGAAGGAAGGAAGGAAGGAAGGAAGGAAAGAAGTAAGTAAGTGTAAGGTCCAAGTTCCTTACTTGAACTTGAGATACCATGTCAATCTAATCAGATAACCCAAGCAGAGACTTCTTGATCAAGCAGCATTTTACTTGATCAAATCAAGCAGCTGGGTGGCCAACAATCTGGAATGCTGGCAGAGTTACATCCAGAAGTGCTACACCTTAGAACAGTGATGGCGAACCTTTTAGAGACTAAGTGCCCAAACTGCAACCCAAAACTCACTTATCTATCGTCGGGTGCTGGGTGGGCGTGGCCCATTGGATGGGCATGGCTGTGGTTGTAACAACAGACTGGGTGGGACTAAAAAGTTCAATCAATCAATTCCAACTTTGCGAGATCTTTTTTTTTTTCCCATGAGAAGTTGAAATTGATCGATTGATTGAAACTTTTTTTTTTTTGCACAAGGCGGCGGAGGCCTAATGCGAAAAGGTTTTATAAAACCCAGCTGAAGGCCTAGGATTGGGGTGACGGTGTGCGTGCCCACAGAGAGGGCTTTGCATGCCACCTGTGGCACGTGTGCCATAGGTTCGCCACCACTGGCTTAGACGAAGGAAGGAAGGAAGGAAAGAAGGAAGGAAGGAAGGAAGGAAGTGTAAGGTCCAAGTTCCTTACTTGAATTTGAGATACCAGGTCAATCTAATCAGATAATCCAAACGGAGACTTCTTGATCAAGCAGCACTTTATTTGATCAAATCAAGCAGCTGAGTGGCCAACAATCTGGAATGCTGGCAGGGTTACGTCCAGAAGTGCCACACCTTAGAAAATTGGTAGCATTGCTTTGTAAACTTTGTTAGCCAGTGAAAATCAGACAACAGAGCCATTACATCATAAAGAAGATATCGATCATTCGTGGACACTCCCTTATTCCCTCCTTCAGTACATCCCATCCATGTACATGTTTCCCAAGCCTGCATGAGATTTCCTTGGTGCAAAAGCTGATTACAAAAAGCAAGAAAGCAACAGTTAAACTAAACAATTTCCCTTTGTTTCAGAACCCTTTGGAAGGAAGGAAGGGAGGAAGGAAGGAAGGGAGGGAGGGAGGGAGGGAGGAAGGGAGGAAGGGAGGCACTTGAGAAAGGCTTGCACCTGAGAAGCAGGGCTTTTTTTCTCATAGAACGCCCAGAACGGAATTCCGGCACCTTTTTTTGGATGGAACCTTGTAGGGTAGGCAAGGTGGGTTGTATGAAATGTGTGAGTTCCGGCACCTTTTTTTTTTTTTTTTTACAAAAAACCACTGCTGAGAAGTATTAAAGTTATTACAAAGTAAGCAATGATTCAATAATTCAATTATTGTATTCAACTGCTCAAGTCCAAAATATACAGCTCCAGCTTCCTGATGCAATGAGATGCAATTGGTGCTTGGCAAAGAGCAAAATGATTTGATTCTGCTTTTTTATATTCAACAGGTGGTCACTTTAGTGCTTGCAAGCTTTCAACCAGTGTTGGTACATAGCAAAGAAAAAGTGGAGGAGGGCTGCAATATAGAGGCAATTAAAATATATATCCAGAAGAGCACTGGGTTGATTTAAGTTCCCTTGCATGCAGGCATACACGCCACACTCTTGGCATGAAATGATTTGGAACGGTTTCAAAAGCAGCTGGATGTAGGTCATCCATCTGAATCAGAATACAAATAGGATCCTCACATAAATCATGCAAATAATGATTATTGCATTGCAAAGAGTAATGGGAATTTAACATGCATTTTCAATTACAGAGCTCAGGGATTTCAACAGGTAGCACTTGATCTTGGTACGGACTTGATATTATCAAACAGAGTCACATGCAAACTTCTCAGAATAGAGAGAGATTTCCAGTCTCAAAAGCAAATAAAAAGCACCATACTTTTCTTAGTTTACAGCCAGAGAGTATTAATATATATCCCATATACACCCACAGCTTCCTCCTGCAGAAATGTTATATAATGCAGCTTTATTCAACACCAGAAATTCTAAGGATTCTTAAGGACAACAGATTATTAGAGCAAATCGGTTTAGACATGAAATACATCCTTAAAAAGGATATTGAATGCTAAATATGCTTCCACTGATAAAAGCTTGAAGTAACTCAGCAGCCAGGCATTCATAACAGCCCCAGCTTTTTGTCCCAAAGACTCTGAAAAATGCTCCATAAATGTCACCCCAAGGATTACAAAGACTTTTAAAACACCACTTTTTAAAAATATTTGGCAGTGTGCGCTATGGTTCCTCCTATTGCTCTGTCCAATTGTAGAAGTAGAATGAAGCTTCATTTGAAAAATCAATAGACTGCAAGTAATCCTTGATTTACAACCATTCATTTAGTGACTAAAGTTGAAAAAAGCGACTTATGACTGTTTTTCATACTTGCGACTGTCACAGCATCCCCATGGTCACATGACCAAAATTCGGATGCTTAGCAACTGGTTCATATTTGTGATAGTTGCAGGGTCTTGGGGTCATGTGATCATCTTTTGCAACTTTCTGACAAGCAAAGTCACAATACAGAATTGGAAGAGTCCTTGGAGGTCTTCTAGTCCAGCCCCTGCTCGAGCTATACCATTCTACATAAATGGTTGTCCTTTTTCCCTTCCAAAACCCCCAGGGATGGAGCACCACAACATCTGGAGGCAAGCTGTTCCAGTGATCGTTTTCAATGATAGAATTTTTTTCAAATTGGATGTTTCTTTGATAAGTTATATCCTTGTCCTGCCCTCAGATGCTTTGGAACTATGACATTTATTAACTTTACGTATTTATTATGTATTTAACTTTAAATTTATTTAACTATAACACTTGTCATAGCTACACTTGCGGTAGCCCTCTAAAGGAAATCAGGATTATTATTTACATGTTACCTGCTGAAGAAAAAGTAATAATGGATGATATGGAGTCAGTCAGGGCCCACTTCAATACTTCATCCCAAGAAATTAGAACTCGTGGAAGCGGTTTCTTCCAAAAGGAACTTTTATTAGGAGAAGCAGATAGCAGACATAATAGACAGGATCTGAGGGTTTCCCGCCAGAGCAATAGGTAAAAAGTATTGCAAACATAACCCCACCCCATAGTTCATCCAGTCAGTTCAAACAGGCCTATCCCAGGGTGTTAAGTTTGTTGTGGGGAAAAAGGAGATAACATCAGTCCATCTCCAGGCTGCAGCGATGTTTAGGCGGCTCTTCGCACCTTCCCTTGCGAAAGCGGAGATAAAGCAGTTGCCGGAGGTACATTCCATTCTCCTTCCCCCTTTACTAGTTGACAACAGGGGAGAGAAAGTTCACAGAGGAAGAAATGTAGAAATAGCGAAGTGTTACATCAGGGGTGTCAAACTCAATTTCATTGAGGACCGCATTAGCATTGCGGTTGCCCTCGGGGGGGGGTGCGGGTGTGTGTGGCCAGGGTGGGTGTGGCCTACTGGGTGGGTGTGGCCTACTGAGTGGGCATGGCTAGTTCTACATTGTTTGCATCAAGGGTGCCTGTGGGGGCCTGGGCAGGAGTGGGACAGATCTGAGGGTCTCTGGCAGAAGGGGGTGGGACTGGGGCAAGCGCCAAGGCATGGTCCATTTCTTCATTCCTCACAAGGGTGACACCTCCCCAGCATGCACCCACGGGTGCAGCAGGGGCTGGTTCCTCACTATTTCTAGATGGCCTTTTGGAATTAAGACTGAATGCGTTTCAGCACAGATGGCCACCACAAAATTGTACATTGGCTCCCAGCCGGCCTGGGCCAGGCCCAAGGCAGCGGGGGCTGTTCCCTCACTATTTCCAGGATGGCTTCGCAGGCCACATGAAACCACTTCACGGGCCGCATCCGGCCCCCCCCCCAGGCCTTGTGTTTGACATGTCTGTGTTACATTGTAGCGAAAGAGGAAACACAAGGCAATAAACTCCAAGCGCTTCCCCCTCCCCTCCAGGAGTATGGCAGAACCCAGGGAGAGAAGAGAATTCAATTTGGGTTTAGAAGGATTAGAAGGAAAGGAAAAGGCTCTGACAGTCATCATACATTATCAAGTCATCATTGTGGTGAAATCCATGGGAAAGCCAGATTCACTTGACAACTGTGTTACTAACTTAACTATGGTGATTCACTTAATAGCTGTGGCAAGAAAGATTGTAAAATGGAGCAAAACTCACTTAACAAAGGTCTCACTTAACAACAGAAATTTGGGGCTCAATTGTGGTTGTAAATCAAGGACTTACCTGCATTGCTAACTTAGCAACTTCGAAGGATTGAAGCAATACTAGATTTGAGTTTTATAATATAGAACTCTTATTGATATAGAAAATCGCCTTTGTGCATAAAAGCAAAGAGCGTACCAGGATCACATCTTACCTGAACATTTTGTCCAGGAATCAGTGTTCTTCTTTCAGGAATCAGTTCTGTTGCTCACTTTTAAATCTTAGGAAAAGGCACCAAGACTTCCGTTCTTCAGAAACCTGGGCAGATCACTTTTGATCAAGTAAAGGCCACACCCCCAAGCAGCCCAGTAGCCATGGTCACAAGCATTGTTCTTACTGATCTGGTGATAAGAACACTCTTCCTGCAGTTCCTCCTTTTCAACCACAACCAGAGTATCAAATATAATCAGGACAAAATGCCACATCTTTATTTATTCTCCTCCCACTAGTTAGCATACATAACCCATCTCCAAGTCCCAGCTCTGTGTTATCCTCCCATGTGGATTAGATAGAAATTGGAGGGTGGACATCTGAGTGACTTAAAAGCTGAAGACAACCCAGGGTAGATTATTGCTGGGATTCCAGCTGTTCCATTCCAGCATTCTTCATGTATACAGTGGATTCTGGGAAGGGCAGAACCAGAACATCTGGAGCAGTGTTTTTCAAACTTGGCAACTTTGAGGTTGTGTGAACTTCAAGAATTCCCCAGTCAGCAAGGTTGAGAAACACTGATCTGGAGGGCCCTGGGTTTAAGAAAAACCATTCTCTTTATCATCTGCACATTGGTTCCTTGCATTTGATAGTTACTTTCGTACCAAACTAGTGTATGACCCCAATTCCTCCCCCCTCCCCCCACACACACCATCTCATCTATATTGCAGGCCTAATGTTGTGTTTTTATTTTTGAAGAATGAAAATTCAAGTTAAAAGTTCCCCAAACTAGTACGGCTACTGTGAACAATCAATGAATTATTATTAATTAATAACTAATATTAGCTTCCAGGTTACTAAGGGCAACTTGTCAAGCTGACAGAACGAGTTTTGTTCTCCTGCTTCTATATTCGCCTTCAGGAAGAAAAGGTCACGTTTCCCCCTTTTGCAATTGATCAGTATTGCCTTTTAGGTTGACAGCTTATTGAATCAGTCTTGCAGAATAAATGCTGTCTCCTTATAGATAACCCAATGCAATTTCTTCCATTACTCACCATCTTGGCAGGCCTATAGGCTTCAGGCAGAGCAAGTTGCCCCACCTGCCTCTTATTTTTAGAGCATTTTGCAGCTGTAAGAGTCATGCTATACTATGTAATTACATATACAATACAGCGACAGCAGATTAATCAGAATGTATCTAAGCCATGCTTTAAAAGACCCAATTAAATGGAGCTTCACCAAGTCTTTAAAAAGACCAAGCCAAGGTAAGTCAAATCTCACTGATAGTAAAATTGAAACAGAAGCCACACTGACATATTTGCAGTGCCAATGCTGAAAGGAACAGAAACGCAAGCTTGATCTTCAGAAATACCACCAGAGGGAATGGCTTGGCTATGGTGAGGCATTTCATATGCTTAAATTCAGTTGTGTCTTCTAGCTACATGCAACACGTTGTCTGATCTCAAAAAGCTAAGCCAAATTAGACTAGTTTACTACTGGGAGGCAGGTATTAACACTAATAAGTTCCTAGTCTGTAGGATAGACTGCCAAATTGAAAAAAACACCCCCTCCCCAAAGATGATAGTATCCAACCACTTATAGTATCAAACCACTACAATACTGTTACCCCAAAAAACTACAGTATGTTTTCCTTGAAGTTACCATGTTTGGTCTGTCTCTGACACTTGAATTTTACCACAGAAATTTAATTGCTCCCCATTAGTGCTATATATGTGAATTACTTGGTTTAGTCCTTTTTAGGAGGAAGTTAATATTCAAAATAAAATGCAGATGAAAACACTCTGTGTGTACTTTGTCTAGGAAACTGTATGAATAAGTAAAAGCCTGAGTCCACTGCAAGGAAAATAGGAAATTACCATGCTTGATCAATTGTTTTATATCTTGATTTTATAATATTTTCTGCTAAAACTGCAATCCTTTCCAAATTAACCCCCGGGATTAGTTTTAAATAAAAGCTATAAGCAAAGATGGATTGTAAAATGAGAATGGGCAATGCCAAGAAATTGGAGCCATACCAGGTCAAGACCTCAGAAAGCCAAGCAGGATTGAATCTAGTTTGCAGTTGGACAGAACAGGAGCAGGAGATCCCAATTCCATGGGCTAGACCGGAAAATTATTTAAAAAAAATATTAAAAAACAAATTCCGAGAGCACCAGTAGCCGAGCCCTTCTACATCACAGACAAGGAAACCATGCGGATGTGTCTATGAAATAACCAGGAGCCAAATTGACTCAAAGAATATTTATCTAATCAATCTGGCCACCAAACTAAGCCCTATATGCAGTAGCTTGCCTTGTCAGTATTAGTGGAAATGTGACACACCCTGCCCGTAGTTCCTTGATTAGGGAATTGTTTTCTGCTTGACTCCTTAAGAGTTTCTTGTATATAAACACGGAGCAACCCCACTGATGTTACCTAATTGGGTAATAGTAATAGCACTTAGATTTATATACCGCTTTACAGCCCTCTCTAAGCAGTTTAGAGTCAGCCTATTGTCCCCAACAATCTGGGTCCTCGTTTTGCCGACCTCAAAAGTATGGAAGGCTGAGTGAACCTTGAGCTGGTCAAGATCGAACTGCTGGCTCTGTGAGCAGAATTTGCCTGCAATACTGCATTCTAACCACTGTGCCACCACAGCTCCTAATGAAATGACTGCAAGAACACGACCAAGGATTCCACAAGTTCAACCCTGAACTACTCTATATTCTCTTCTTTTGGGGCTTATCAGTTGTGTTGGCAGCAGAAACCTAGTTGTGGATTCAGATCAGGACCTCTGCAAATCCTCCTAATATCTCCATGTGTTCCTTGAAGAAACTTCCCCTTGGTTCCTCTGAAGTACAATATTTTAATATAAAGCATTACACAAAAGATCTAGAAATGAAAACATGGACAAAAAACGTTTTTTATTTGCTGAATAAGGAAATTTCTGTAAATGTACAAAGAACTATTACTATGCTATAGTATACAATTTCCAATGCGTCCACAAGGATAATCGTTAATAAATACATGTAACAAAATAAAAATGTTAGGCAAACCTACAAAATGGTTCCTCAAGTGTTGCACCTGGCAGTGTTTATTGGCTTCTGTTAGTTATCGTGTTTTGTTTGTTTTGCTGGTAAATGCTGCAAAAGTTCCCACCCACCCCCTTGAAGTATTAAAATAGGTGCTGTTTGAAGAAATATTGTCTCAAATTGTTCAAATACTGAGAAAGACAGAAAAAAGAACGAGAAAGGAAAAGATCCAAGAGTTCAAAATTCTGCTCACTGTATCAAAAAGACCACCACAAAAAAACAAACAAACAAAAAAAAACACAAAGAAAAAGAAAAAAGAAGAAAGGAAAAGTAAATGGGAGAAGAATGTAAGTGACTGGTGAAGGTGATAGCCCTGAGATACTGACAATTATTTGCCATTTATTACAGGCCACTGAGGTTCTTTATGGGGTGAGGCTGTGTTATAATTAAGTTATTCCATGAAGACACAAAATGGTTCTTTGCTTTGGAGAAAATATACATTGTTTAGATTTGGGGATTTATTTTTAACCCATGGAGAGAGCTGGAGTGATGCATTTATTCATTTTACAGTTCTGTTTTAAAACTTTAATCAGTACTGTCTAGTTTTCAAATGTGGTGCCCACCGTCAGTTTCTGAAATACGAGTGCTCATGAAAATACATGTTTACATTAGAAGCGTAAATTGGTTTAATCTATTTAATTCTGCAAGTTATGCCATTCATCAACTGAATACTGGGAATCCTATATTTATATGATATTCTTTCACAAAATAACTGACACCCTTGGCAAGCTCACACTAGTTTGGAATACGATCACACTACCGTATATTCCAGCGTATAGGGCGACCCGGCATATAAGACAACCCCCGACTTTGACGCCGAGTCGCAAGACAATCGACGCCAAGTCACATGCCTAGAAAGTCGTCTTATATGCCGGAAACTACCAGTATTTCCAGCATATAAGACGATCAACGCCAAGTCGCGCGCCTAGAAAGTTGTCTTATACGCCAGAAACTACCATTATTTCCAGCGTATAAGACGATTTGGCATATAAGACCCCCGAGTTCGGCACCTGTTTCAACACTCTCAAAAGTCGTCTTATACGCCGGAATATATGGTAGTTTGAAACTGATTCTAGAAACCAATTAGCAGTATAAACATGTCCTTAAAATAGAAGATAAAGATATTTCTTCCTGCTTTCCCAAAATGATATTCTAATACAGTGTTTCTCCACCTTGGCAACTTGAAGATGCGTGGACTTCAACTCGCAGAATTCCCCAGCCAGCTTTGCAAATTCTGAGAGTTGAAGTGCGTGCATCTTCAAGTTGCCAAGGCTGAGAAACACTGCTCTAATACTATTGGTTATCATCATTCACAATAATTTTTAGGCACCATTGAAATTTGTAGAATCATCCCTATATTATATTAATTTAATGCAACAAACATTTCTGGAAACAGGTTTTTCTCTGCTTTAATTGTTACAGCATTTTGGAAAAGAAAACAACAAGATATCTAAAATACACGGACAATTCTACTTCAGCACAAGTTTTCTAGAGTGGACTACTTCCACCAATTTTATTACAGAGTGGGGTTAGGGGAGAAAACCAAGAAAGCAATGGCGTAAATTCTTATTAAAGTCTATTGCAAAAAAAGTATTACATAAGCAAACAAATTTCATTATAAAGGCTTTTTCTAAATTTGAGGGCCAGTAAAAATATATCATAGAGAAGATTTTTATTTTCTTTACAAAAGTGAGGTTTGGAACTGTGAGATAAGATAACTCACTGTAAACATCATGAATTCAGTCAGATCGCTTGCTTGCAATTTGAAATACCCTTTTCCCTCTTCTAAGTTCTACTTCCAATAGAACTGCAAAATTTTGCATAGATAGTTTATTTCCTGCCTGATAATGAAACTGAGGTTTTAGCAATTAGCTATTTCAGAAGTATTTACTAGTTTTAGTACAGGGGTGGGGAACCATAACCCTTTTATGACTTGTGGACTTCAACTTCCAGAATTCCTGAGATAGCCATGCTGGCTGAGGAATTCTGGGAGTTGTAGTCCACAAGTCATAAAAGGTCATGGTTCCACACCATTTAGTACATGGCTATATTTTATGTTACCTATTTAATACATATCACAAATCTGGTGCTCTTACAGTCCATAAATTACTTGATAAATAAAAACAAAACACTGCAGCTGGCTTTACAGAACAAGGCGAAGTTGTCCTACTTATCATTAGCTTCTAGATTATATTGGGCATCTGAAGGCCTAAAAATATAAAGAAGGTAATTTTATCCATTTAAAAATAACCAGGAAATGAACAATTAATTTCTGCCTCCAACTTCAAATGGTGCAGCTGCTTATAATCAAAATGGTGAAAGTTTGCCTCAACTCATCATAATCCATGAAAATACACAACCACGGTCTAATACTGAAGGTCAAATGTTGATCATCCCTGATTTATCGTAAACTGCAATCTCTGGAGAATTCTGCATTTGTGTCCAACATGCAAAATTAGCACTTTGGAAATCTTTCTAAGGTGAGTTTCAAATTCTGCAGCAGCAGCAGCAACACCATCAGGGATCCACAAAAACAGTTTCACCTTTTTTTTGTGATGGGTTTTTACACATTGTTAAAATCTGTTTAAGCACTTTCTGGACATCTTCATCCATCTGGCCCTACAAAGGAGGAAAAAACAGTAAAGGCAAACAATATTAATAATATTTGAGCAAAGAGCAGTAAGTCAAATTCTTAATTACTGTCTTATAGTACTACAATTGTTACTGTACTGTTGTAATAAAACAAGTATTCATTTTATATTATGAATATCATGCTCTAAAGTATAAACGTATGTCACTCTGTTAAGTATGTCAAAATGTTCTCCTTTGTAAACATATAACAAGTTGAGATTGCAACCTTTACTCAATCATTCCAGTTAAAATGATTGCATATATTTCTTTAGTCAAATTACAGCTATTTACAATGATTTGGCCAGACCAATTTAGAAAAGGCATTAATTCTCATACAACAGTTGTGTGCAATGTGTCTTCCTGAAGCATTTATTAGCATTAATAAACTTTAGTAAGACCACACCTGGAATACTGCATCCAGTTTTGGTCACATTACAAAAAAAGATGTTGATACTTTGGAAAAAGTGCACAGAAGAGCAACTAGGATTATTAAAGGCCCGGAGACTATATCATATGAAGAATGGCTGCAGGAACTGGGTATGGCCAATCTAGAGAAAAGACAGGCTACGGGTGACATGACAGCAGTGTTCCAGTATTTGAGGGGCTGCCACAAAGAAGAGGGGGTCATGCTATTTTCCAAAGCATCAGAAGGCAAGACAAGAAACAACGGATGGAAACTAATTAAGGAGAAAAGCAACCTGGAATTAAGGAGAAACTTCTCTAATAGTGAGGACAATCAAGCAGTGGAACAGCTTGCCTTCAGAAGTTGTGGGTGCTTCATCACTGGAAGTTTTTAAGGAAAGACTGGAAAGCCACTTGTCTGAAATTGTATAGGACCTCCTGCTTGAGCAGGGGACTGGACTATAAGATCTCCAAGGTCCCTTCCAGCTCTATTCCAATTGATTTCCATTTCCTATACCATCTACTATTAACAATAGTGTACAAATATAATCAATACAAGAGAATATTTGTAACTCAGGATTGAACTGTAGAATCCTGGGTGCTCTGTGAGGTTGGTTGTTTTCTTGGCAGATGTTTCACTACCCAACTAGGTAACAGCTTCAGTGCAACAGGGCTGTAGGGCTTGCTGTTGTAGGCATTCATGTAGAAAGAATAATTGTATCTTGATGGAAGTTTGCCCACATAAACTGAAGATGTTACTTACTTGGATAACGAAATGTCTGCAAAAAGAAAACCAACCATGTTCACAGAGCACCAAGAACTCCACAAATATAATGCACTGCTTTCTTTAACCAACTGATGTCCTTGAAAGAAATACAAGACGGACGGAGCCTCTCACCTGCACAGCATAAAGCAGGTGTGTTCTGTAAACAGAAACTATCTCCTGATGTTGCTTCTTTGTTTCCTGTAAAGAAAGATGATCAATCAACAAATGAACAAGCATGCACTAGCATTCTGATGGAACATTGGTGTAGTTTTCTAACAAGGTAATGTAAAACAGAAAATGATACTGATTCACACAAGTCATAATTTGCCACATGTACATTGGTGATAGAGGGCACAGTTGTGTCTGTTCATCCTAGATATTTCCAGCTTCTATCCTGCCTATCCCACAGGGAAAAGAATTCCAGGCTTGTGTGTGCAAAATAGAAAACAGTGGTCATCTGGTCTGGGTTAGAGCAGAGTTACCCAACCTTTTCAGCTTTGTGGACCAGCGGGGGTGAATGTGTGTGTGTGAGGGGATGGTTCCAGGCAAGTGGTCGGCAAGCGTGAGCACTCAGCTCCATTTCCACAAGTGGGGATGCACATGTGTCCACCACTTTCACAGCCTGGTTTCAAAAAACTCACTGTCCAGTAGTGGGCCACAGCCTGGGGGTTGGGGACCCCTGAGTTAGAGGATAAGTCCTTGGAGCAGGAGCTCAAGAGGGAACCCCAGTCTTCCATTTTTTAAAAAATGGAAATGCCCATTCACTCTTTAGTTAAAGCTGTTCTGTATCTTTACAGGCAGCCCATTTGTTTAGCAGCTGTTCAAAGTTACAACAGCACGGAACAAAATACTGTATCTTAAAAACTGGTTTTTTGCATTTACAACCGTTACAGTAATCCCCAGTCAAGGGATCAAAATTTGGGATCTTGGCAACTGGCATGTATTTACAAGGCTTGCAGCATCCTGAGGTTATGGGGTCCTAGGATGCAGTTGGCTTCCATCAAACAAAGTCAATTTGTTGTTGTTAGTTACAAAATTGTGTCCGACCCATCACGACCCCATGGACAACGTTCCTCCAGGCCTTCTTGTCCTCTACCATCTTCTGGAGTCCATTTAAGCTCATGCCTACTGCTTCAGTGACTCCATCCAGCCACCTCATTCTCTGTCGTCCCCTTCTTCTATTGCCCTCAATCTTTCCCAGCATTAGGCCCTCCTCCAGTGAGTCCTTCCTTCTCATTAGGTGGCCAAAGTACTTGAGTTTCAACTTCAGGATCTGGCCTTCTAAAGAGCAGTCGGGGTTGATCTCTTCTAGGACTGACCGGTTTGACCACCTTGCAGTCCAGGGGACCCGCAGGAGTCTTCTCCAGCACCATAGTTAAAAGGCCTCAATTCATTGGCACTCAGCGTTTCTTAAGGGCCATCTTTCACAGCCATACATTGCAACTGAGAAAACCATGGCCTTGACTATACATACTTTTGTTGGCAGGGTGATGTCTTTGCTTTTTAGTAGCAAAAAGGCAATTAGGGAAGCCAAATTTGCTGAACAACTACAGTGATTTGCTTAACAACCACGACAAAAAAGATCATAAAACTGGGTGTGATTCACTTGACAGCTGCCTTGCTTACAAATGGAAATTCTGGTTCCAATAATGGTTGTATATTGAGAACTATCTGTATAGACATCTTTCAACTTTCAATATTAATATCGGCTCTTAAATGTCACATATATTTCTCCTGAACCATACACTCCTTTAGAAAGCACAAGTACATCGTTGGACATTTCAAGAAAATGTAATAAATGAAAACAAGGGGATGAAGAACTCTTTCTGGCCATCATAAAGGAAGGAAAAGATATCGAAATCTCATGAGGTACTGATGTTCTTTGCCAAATATCTTAATTGATCTCAGCAAGATCAATACTTCTCTGGGGTTCTGGAGGGAGTTCTCTTTAGTGCCATGCTGCCAATTTCCAAATTGAAAGCATTCATACTGATAGCTCATTTGGCTGAATCAGGGCAAATGCCTTCGTCCTAAAGCAGGTGATGACCACTCAACCCAGAATGTTCTGGAAACTGCTAGGCACTCTTATGCATACCTAACAGAACCTGGCAATGGTACAAAAAGACAATCAGCAGATACAAAAACTGGGTCCACAGTGTACCCTGGCTTAATGTTATGTTGCTCCAACTGGTTTGCAATCTCAGAAATCCTATAATTCTATAGACAAGCTCCCACACTGATTTGAAAGAACTAAAAAAAGATCTTTTTCTGACAAGAAAACGAGAATTGGCATGGCAGAAAGGAAAGAATCTGTCACTGCTCTGTAATTAAAAAAAAAAAAAAATCAATGGACAAACCAAGGCTATGTATCTCATTAAGATTGTCCCTGGTATCAGAGGATGTAATCCTCGATTTATGACCGGTTCAAAGTTTATGGCAAACCTCCCCAGGACTACTTACAACTCAGATTCAAAGTTATGATGCCCCTGCCCTCCGCCATGACATGAATGCATTAAGCACTCAGCAACCAGCCCAGACTTATATTAAATTGCAATATCCCATGGTTGCATGACTAGTTTATGATATTTTTTGCCAGAAACTGGTTTTCAAAAAAAAAAAAAAAAAAAAAAAAAAAAAAAAAAAAAAAAAATTGCGGACAATGGATTCACTTAATGACTATGTTGTTCATTTAACAACCACTTAACAATCATAGTGATTCACTTAATGACTACAACAAAAGTCGGGCCTGCTTAACAACCGACACAGTTTATGACTGTAATTCCAGGCTCAATTACAGTCAAAAATCAAGGAGTATGTTTATCCAGTTTCATCCCAAGGAGAATTCGGGTCTCCAACTACAAAAGTAAGCAATTGTACATAAGGAAGTTATAAACATACAGCCAGTTGGTTTTGTAACTGCTTCACTTGCTGCTGCAACAGCTCCAGCTGCTGACTTTGTCGTTTAGGTGTACCAGTTGAGTAAGACAGCTGGGAAAGACTGTTCAACGCTTCCTTTAACTTGGTAACTTCCTTGGACATGTCTGTTATCTATAAAAGGATAAAAGGAAAAACTTCATTATTCCAGAGTACATTAAAGTACTGGCGAGTTCTGCTTTAAAGGTGGGGAAACAACCTTCATTATCATCACCTTGATGCAGATGGTTAACTTTAATCATAATGCAAAGGTAGTCCTCGTCTTACAACCATTTGTTTAATGACTGTCTGAAGTTACAGCAGCACTGAAAAAAGTGACAACCAGTTCCCATGCTTACAAACATCACAGCATCCCCCAGTTACATGATAAAAAATAGGGTGCTTGGCATGTATTTATGACGATTGCACCAATCACCTTTTACAACCTGATTTTTCTGCCAAAATACACATGGGGATGAGCGTCTATTTCTTCAAACTCCCTAAAACAAGTTCATGCAAGAGATACTACATATAATCATCTTGGAGCATAGGAAACCATTTCTGCATTTACATCATCATTCTGTTACTGGAAAGGAATCCAGTCTAACCCAGGATTCTCTAATAACCACGAAGAACCTAGCACAGTAACATCTTTCAGGTATCTCCAAGTAATCAGGGGATGAACATGCTTCTGGGGGTGCATTTGGACCATGGGAAACGCAGCCGTTCCTGATAGGGATGTCAGAACAACTAACCTTTTTATCTTTGTCTTCATCCATTTTTAAGGCACTCTCAGAAGCTTTTTTCATTACGAGGAGTTCTTCTTGAGACTTATGATACTGATGAAGTAGTCCTTTGATTTCCTCTTCCCTGGCTTGGAGAAGACCTTGGAGGTTCTCCTTCTCCCCTTTCACTTGTGAGATCTCCTTCTTCAACTGTGCAAGATTGGCAGACAAGGTCTCCTTTTCTTTCATTAAATCCTTCAGCTTGGATGACAAGGTGTTGACTTCATTTTCTGAAGAAGACCGGAGCTCTTCATACAATATTCTAGGCACCATGGCTTCGCACACTGCAGCTTCTTCTTCTAACAACTCCTTTTGCAGACGCTGTACCTCACTCTCCTTATGAAGAATCTGCTCTTTGAGCTCACTTATTTCTTCTTCCATCTCCTTCACCGAGGTCTGGAGAGCAGTAACTACTTGAAGATGTTCTGTGATGGAGACAGAATTCTCCTTTTGAGCATCAACCAAGTTTTGGAGTTGTGTCACTTCACTTAACACTTTTGTATATTGTGTCTTCATTTCCAATAAAGCATGTTCAGCTTGTTCTCTCTGCGAGACGATGGCCTCCATTAGCTTCTCATATTCCTCCAGAGGTATGTATCTGGAACTTATGTCTTCTGGAGTGCTTTTCTTCCTGCAATCTTCAAGTTCTGCCTGGGTTTCTTTGTACATTTGCGAAAGTTCACTAACCTGCCTGTTGAGTTCATTTATCATTTGGTTCTTTGCAACCTTCACCTCTTCAGCTTCATCACTCTGCTCTAATTCCATCTGAGCCTTCAGTCTGTCTTGAAGCTTTTTGATTTCTTCCTGTCCTTCCTTATATTTTTCAATTAGCAACACCTTCTCTTGGTTGATATTTTCAATAACTGAACAATATGACTTTTTCATCTCCTCACATTCTTCCACAGACATTATGCCAGCTGCATTTCTCTCCCATTCTTCCAGCTTTATTTCTAATTCCTTCACCTTCACTTTCAGCATTTCATCATCTTCTTGAGCTTTCTTCAGCTCTTCCTTCAGCAGCTCAACTTCTTCACAGGTTGTTTTGATCTCCTGCAGGTCAGGCTCTTTGCCTTCTGAAGTTACCAGGTCGAGTTTCATTTGTCCCTGGACATGCAGCATCTCCTTCACTCCTTCTTCGTATTTGATTTGAGTTTCTTTGAGTTTCTGATTGAGGTCAGAGCCATTCTCTGAAATTTCTGAGCTGTTCAACAAAGGACCTTCCTCCAGCATGCTAGACTGAAGCTGTGACTCCAAGTGCAACCTCTTTGCTTCTGAACTATCTAGTCTCTTCTGTACTTCTTCTAAGCTTTCTTGTAACTGTTTAATTTTTAATTCATTAGAGCTTGCTTCTTCCTGAGCCTGTGCCAAGAACAGGGAAGATGTGCTTATGTCCTCAGCTGATACTGCCGAGCCTTCACTCAGCCTGTTAGTGAAGGCACCAAATTCCGTGTGGGTGGAACAAGAAGATTCCATTGTGGTGTCTGTATCTTCTGTTTTGAAGGCTCTTGCCTGCAGAGACAGCAGAGGGCAGCAGTCAACAATTATGTCTAATTCTAATGGAATCCAAGAATTCCTTCCCCACCAAGAAGACAAGGAGCTACATTTTTCTCCCCCCTCTTTGATCATTATTGGGTCAACATTTGATTTCCATTCAGCCAGCAAACCTCTCCCTCTGCTTCTGCCAGAAGGATGATATTGTAGTGTGGCTGTTCCCAAGAGTTCCCATTTCCAATGCAGTCAGAATTGTATTTCTGACTTCAGAATACTGAAGATAACGATACTGACTGCATAAACCACAAACATGAGGACATGGAAAGAGGGGATGGGAAACTGAATGTGTTCCAGGTGATGTCATGGTGGGCTTTTAGTAAGGCTAAATCACAGATCCCCAAGACACAAAAACATGTCTCCACCCTGTGTTTCTCCACGAAGGAGTAGAGAGAAGCAATGGGTCTGCTGGTGCACAGAAAGAAAACAAATGTGCAGACGAGCAAGCCCAGTTTCCCCAACTGGGTTTTGCATGGAGCACTTATCTCCACATAGCTAAAGGGGGAAGAGATGTTGCTTCCTGATTAGTCTGATAGAATAAAAGGCTTTTATCTTTGCAAGGCAAGACAGAAAATGATTTTTCAGGCTTCGTGGAGAAAAATGCAGAGAGACTTTTGCCCTACACTGGCAGTTGCACAGAGAATGGCAGAGTTGTGCCAGTGGGGGTAATAGTGAAGGTATTGATCTAGACTGGAGAGATCCAAGTTCAAGCCCAACCTCAGCTAAGGAAGCTCACTGAATGATTTTGAGCCAGACAGTCTCTTTTTCTCTTAGCTCTTTGTTGTTGTAACACAGGAGTAGGCAACCTCGGCTCTTTTATGACTCATGGACTTCAACTCCCAGAATTCCTGAGCCAGCTAGGTTGCCTACCCCTGTTGTAACATGAAGGGAGATTCTCATCCAAGCTACCTTCTGCTTTTTAGAAAGAAAAGGATGACATGAATCATATACACCAAATAAGCCATAATTGTGAGTTATTTGTCAGAGAGGGAGTGGGGGCTTTACTAGAGCAGTGGTTCTCAACCTGTGGGTCAGGACCCCATTTGGGGTCGAACAACCATTTCACGGGGGTCGCCAAACAATGCAGTCCGCCATTTTTTCCCCTTTTCCTTAGCTGTGCTACTCCCTTTTATTCTATTGGCTTTTGAAAGCCAATAGAATAGACTCTCTTGAATAGAGTCTAATTCTATTGGCTTTCAAAAGCCAATAGGAATTGTCCAGGCTGTCTCTGCCCTGCTGAGCCTGCCAAACGTCCCATTCTGCAAACGGTGCTGCACCAGTTGAGTAGTCCTCGACTTACGACCGGTTGACTAGTCCTCGACTTACGACCGGTTGGGGGTTGCGGCGTTAAAAAGGTTGAGAACCACTGTACTAGAGGGACTCTATGGACCAACTGATGGATCAGAAATTTCCAATCCCATATAATTTCTTGAATCTGCAGCACAAACTCATTTTGTATCCTTTAGATTTCAGTTTAATATTTCAGTTTAATACCAGTGCTGTTTTGTGCTAGAATGTATTCCTGAACACATACCTGAAGTTTTTCTTGCAATTTCTTATTTTGTAATGTTAAAGAAGCAACTTTTCCTTGCAACGTCAGGAGCAAATCTTGCTGATCTGTTTCTGAACTCACATCCAATAAACTATTAGCACCTTTAAATAAGAAAAGGGAAGGAACAAGAAAAAAAATAAGCACGTGTATGATTTGAATGTGCAAAGCGGCTACAATTCTATAGTTTCTATTTAGCAAACCTTCAAAATGAAAACCGGCAATTATCATTTACTAGCTTTGGCAATTTTGGGCATGCCACATGAAAATCTGATTTATAAAACTGTTTGGCAGCTATGGCTTCTGGAAAGTATTTTAATGAACTACGTGAATCTGGAGATCTATGAACACTTTGAGACACTGCCAAAAAAATCTAGAACATGCAAACTTGGGTAAAAACAACAGGTTGTTAGTGGATTTGCAGCTAAGCTAAAAGTGGGCATGCTAGATTGGAACTCTTCCAACATTTGGTGCCAAGTTATAACATAAAATTATGACAGGAGAAAATTATGAATGCACGGAGAGTGATCATATGATGGCATTTATTCTGCTTAATTTTAATTTAAAGTAAATAAAATAAATTAAAATCAAAACATTTTAGTACTTTGATACCAGCACCCCCTATTACAGTGATGGCAAACCTTTTAGAGACCGAATGCCCAAACTGCAACCCAAACCCCACTTATGCATCGTCGGGTGCCAGGTGGGTGTGGCCCATTGGCTGGGTGTGGCCAATTGGGAGTGGCACATTGGGTGGGCATGGCTGCGGTGGTAACAGCAGACTGGGTTGGACTAAAAAGATCAATCAATCAATTCCAACTTTGCAAGATCTTTTTTTTCCCCCACGAGAAGTTGAAATTGACTGATTGATTGAACCTTTTTTTTTGCACATGGCAGCGGAGGCCTAAAGCGAAAAGGTTTTATAAAATCCAGCTGAAGGCCTAGGACTGGGGCGATGGCGCGCGTGCCCACAGAGAGGGCTCTGAGTGCCGCCTCTGGCACCCATGCCATAGGTTCACCACCACTGCCCTATTATTTCTTCTAAAAACTCAAAAGTGTTTAACAGTCCTGTGAGGCTGGTTGGGAGAGCGCAGTCAGTGACATTTAGGAATTCAGACAGGGGACTTCAGGATCCAAACCAGTTTAAAGCAATAAAGCATAGGAGGAAATACTGGAATCTCTTCCATGGAGCTGTCATGACAAAATGAGTCAGCACAAACAGTATTTTCTTGCAGAGAAGTGGCAAACTTTAATTCTACTATGGCCATAGCGCATGAGGTACAATAATAATATTCAGAGTTCAGTTTTTAGAAGGAAACTTTTAAAATAGAAGAAGATGGAGGAAATCATCCTCAGATCTTTCCTTCAATCTTACCTACAGTGCTCTCCCTTATCCCATCTTTGCAATCAGACAGAATAGCACTGGTATCTTCCTGCTGAAAGACAAATATAAACCATGATTGCTTAAAAGCAAGAACCAAGTCCCACTGAACTACCCATTAATAAACTCAAATATCTTTGAAGTGGAATGTTCCACTAGAAATAAACAACCGTAACTTTTGAACCATCTTTCAACAATAATTGGTTAAGTGGCAGATATTTGACTGACTACATGTATACATGTCTGCATATCATAAACTGTTCACTATAATTTAGTTGCTGGTTTTATTTATTTAAGCTGATATACCACTTCAGTCTCAGACGTCTCTAAGCAGCTTAGATGCCGATATCATAAGATTAAATAACTATAAATTGACTCTAAACAAACAATTATTACAACAACAATAACTTTCACATTTTTCACCGAGCTGAGTAGCAACTCTCAGTTAATAACTAATCACCTACTACAGGATGGGGATTCATCATTCTACCACTCCTAAACTTTCCAAAACAGTTAGGTCTTACAGATTTAGCAGATGCTAAGCAGGGTTGGTGCTAATCTGACATTGGGAAGAACATAGTTCCAAAGGAGGGAGGCAGCAATGTAAAAAACATACAGTATCTTGGTAGCCCCTGATGCTAAGACTCTGCAGAGATGAGACTCAAAGAGTAATCTCCCTACTAGATCTCCCTACTAGACTTATCCAGGTCCTGAGCCATTAAGAGTTTTAAAGGTGCAGCATCCCAATTTGCATCTAGAAGCAAAGCAGTAGCCAGTGAAGCTCTTGGAACTGGTGTTGCATTGGTGAATGGGGGGGGGGGCGGGCTGTTCTTATGTACTTGAGCTGCTGTGTTCCGATTTTGACAAGTCACCTTGGGTATTTGGTACAGAAAGTTGGGATAGAAGTGCTGTCAATAAATAACGACCAAAATCGGCAAAGAAAAGTGTAGAAGAAAATGAAGGAAGTATAAAATTCATTGCTTAACAAGCAACATTATTTTAGAGAAAAGGTCACTTTTAAAAAATTTATTTTCACTCCCTGAGGAAATATGCTAACCAAAGTAATCTTAAAAGTCAGCTGATTAAAACACTGAGATGCTCCTTGCTCTTAGCTAAGCCACATGTTGTGAAGTCACTTGGATTTGTGCCATGGATGTTATCATTAGTGCCCCTTGGAAGGAAATTCCATTAAGCCATTTGATGTGGTACAACGCTGGCCATCCTCCCAAAAGTAATCTTGAGTGACTCATTTAACTTCATGGACAGGTAACGTTTCAGAGACTAATAGAAGCTGGAATTCTCTAGTTGTATCTATTTATGTCCATGCACCTTGCATAACAGTGAACATCTCCCCAACTTGAGCTAATTAAATACTATGTCACATTGCTCAACCCTCTACAACAGCATTCCACAGTCAGGTGTCCCTCAAATATGCTGAGCATGCAACTCATTCTTAGAGGCAACCAATATATTTGGAAAGTCCAATAGGAGAGGCTGTCCTACAAACAGGGCAATGTTCATATTTCATTTGAAGCAAGACCGAAAAAAAAAAGCATACCTTGGATCCTCGTTGGGCAAAGAGCTGGTCTTTTCCAGATGCTGGGGTTGGAGTTGTTGCATGTGATGAAGAATGGTCAGCAAGCTGGAAGAGATGGATGCATTTTAGGGACACAAATTTCCTCTTGCTCGCAGAAGTCATGATTCTCTGTTAGTTGGAAATAAGCAGGACTACACAGCCCTCATTGTTTGTCGGCAGCCGGCATGCAATCAAACAATCGCCTGAGCAACTACTCAGTTTAATATTAAACTTTTTGTTAAAATGCCATGGGCTTCCATGTGCAAAGCTGCTTATGCGTGTCTAAGAACAAACTTCAACTGATGGTTAAAAGGCAAGCCAACAGTCTTGGAGGTCACTCTTATAAGCTCCCATAATCTAAACTTAGGTTTTTGTCCCATCTCAACAGCTCTCTCTGCAAAGTGGCAATTCATATGTGGTATTTTTTTCCCAACAACAGGCCGTCCTATTTCTATTCTGATGAGAATTCACTCATGATACATGAGACTCACATATTTAAAAAGAGAGAGAGAGAGGGATTTACACCAAGCAAATTTAACCAGATCAATTCCCAACAGGACATTCCTCCACCACCCCTCCCTCTCTATACATAGCAACCCATTCAAGCTGGATTGGTTGTTTACCTGGATAGGACTGATGGGAGGAGGTGGAGGGGCTTTGCGTTTTTTTGGAGTTCCACTTCTTTCTGAACTTAATTTAGAGACTTCATCATGCTGGAAGTTTCACAGGCCAGAAAAGGGAGGTCTGTTAGTTTGTTAGTAAGGATTGTGTTAACAAGTTATTCAAAGACATTAAAAACACACACACATTCACGCCTTGTCTTACTGCTGTGAGGATATGACACATGTTTAAGCATGAGCTCATCCTGCTTCCTTTTTTAATTCATGCCTCTGTACATTTTGCTGAAGTCAATAAAGGCAGACCCCTCCCTACTGAGCCATGTTTTCAGAGGCTATTCACAGCCTTGAGTCATTTGTCAAACCTCCTGATCCCTGCCTTGTCTGTCCCAGGACCGACAGAAAAGAGACAGACTATATCCTCGCAATCCTGTTCCTGAGGCATTTTTTGTTGAGTCTCTTAGACCATTTAGCATTTATATGTATCTTTGAAAAATATATAACCAAACATTCTGCAGGCCAAAATCATCAGCACCAACCATAATCTTCTTCCATCTCTATCTACCTGCTTTCAGAATCTCTCATAAATTTGGAATCCACAAAATAGGAACAGAGGAACTCAACGTAGCAAAGCAATAATTCATAACTGCAGCCAATTGGGTGTAACTGATACCAGCCCTACTTTAGAAGTTGTACGTGACATCCAAAGGAAACAGGACCTGCAACTTCTTACAACTGGCCAAAGACATCCCTGAAAGCCAATAAAGCTTGAGCAGCTACTTCAGACTTTTAGGCTTGTTACATGGAAATGGTTTCTAAGCATCATTAAACCAAGTAGAGTATACTTTATTGTTGTGTGAACAAGTATGAAACTCCCATTCTGCTTTCTTCTCCAGCTTGAGTGCAAGGAGATTAGAACATGCTTTTTCCAATGTTATTACAAGGAGGTCCAAAAATGTTCAATTAGGTTGAAACAGCCTTCTTCAACATGATGCCTTCTACAGATCCTGAGTCTTCCACAAAACTTTCGCAGTGTGGAAAATCTACAATAAGGATCTTCTAGCTGCAAAAGATGATTAAATGCACAGACCGCTTCTTTTAGCTGTTCCAATGAAACTATCCCAGTTTGAATCAGAGATGGGAGATTCACACAATTGTTTAACACACACTTTGGATAAATTTCCAAAAGCTCTATAAAACTAAAAATAATATTTCATCATAATTTTAATTCTTAGGCATTTATTTATGCTAAATGTAAAGTTTATCTTTATTAAGCCACTATCTTTTTTCTTTCTTTTTTACCTGCTTTGACTTGATCGGTGACTTGGCATCTATAGAAAAGAAAGACTGCATTTAAGTTAATTGAGATACATGAACCAAAATCCTAAGCTTGGCATTATTTTAGTCAATTCCTTGATTTCAGTATAGCTTGAGATACAAATGAACATATTTGGAGATGAGGGCTCATAGGATATGGTCAAAAAAGTCAACATGGAAGCTACAGAGGTGTAATAGGTAGGTATACACAACAGATGGACCTTCAACTTTATTGTGTTCTCTTTGACTTTTTTTTAACCATATCACGTGGACACTTGTTTGGAATCACATCTTTAATTTACACCAGATGTGTAAATAATCCTACTTATATTTATATTTTCAAGTCTTGACTATTTTATAATGCACAATGAGAGTATGAATGAAGAAGCAATCCAGGTATAACACTAGACACACACCATACTCCATGGCATTTAATCACTCCACTGTATACAAAGAAGATATATGTAGATACATAAGATGGCTAAGTCAGCATCCTTTCTTTTGTTAGACAGACTCAGGGTTTTTTTTTTTAAATAGCTTAAGTTTATCTGCAAATACAGAGTTACCCCAGCTTAAACAGGCCTTAAAAGCACAGTACAAAAAAGAAAATCTAACAAGAAGTCTCTTCAATTGGCCCATTAAATATTCAAAATATTGAATTTGGAAGTGGAGGGAAACCCCCTCCAACAGGGTGGAGGAATGGGTCAGAAAAATTAGAAAAGGGGGGAGGGAAGGAAGAGGCAGACAGATTAAAAACTGAAAGACTCATCTTTCAGAGAGAGGGGAAGGGGGAAGGTACATAACAAAGCATGTTCACTAGACATAAAATCTTCATATCTGTAACCATTGTTTTCAGTCATTAGATTACAATTTGGGTGTTTGGCAACTGGCTTGCAATTATAACATTGTAAACAGCATCCTGTGGTCAAGTGTTTGCCATCTGTGACCTTCAATGCTGGTCTTTGACTAGTAGTCAATTGGGAAGCCAGCAGAAGGTCACAAATGGTAGTCACATGACCATGGAATGCTGTGATTGCATATGCTACTTATATGGCCTTATTTGTATACTTTAGAAAGTATTTAAGAAGCGTGCACATACCAGCCTCTTGAACCATTTTGGATTGAAGGAGATTCTGAATTCCTGTATTTTCGGAAAGCATGGAGTAATGTAGGGCATTGTGTCCAAGTGCATCTGCCAAATTTATATCTGCCCCTTTTCGGATCAGGGTTTCCACAATGTTCAGATTTCCAGCTTCACAGGCCAGCATCAAAGCAGTTCTACAAAAATTAAGACCAACCATGAAGAGGAGCATGAGCCTGTGGCAAGGAGATACTGTCCCAGAATAACTTAAGATATATGATACCACTCCAGAGCAGCCCAAGATATGCATAGGCTGAGGTTATATTATATCCCTGTAGGTTTTGATGAAAGATCACTAGGAAATCTCATGGCTGCTATCGGATAAACTGGGAAACCAAAATAAGCAAACAAACTCTTTTTCAGAAGAAGACCATGGCAAAACATTTCCGTTTAGTTGCCAAAAAAATTGACTTGGATGAAGTCACAAGTTCAAGTGAAGGAGACTTTTGCTTGGAATGAATTTAGTTTAAAAATGTGCAGTATGGCTTTCCTCATGTAATCCTTTTCCAACTTGGAGCCTTCCTGATGTGTTGGACTACAACTCCTAAAACGCTGGGTATAGCTAATGAAAACTGTAGTTCAATACATCTACACAGGGAAAGGTTGCCCATTTCAGGCCCAGCTGGACAAGATATTCCTAAAGGACAGGATCCCATACCAATCATATTTAATATTACACAACTTATTTTGACATTAGCCTATTAGGTCAGGCAAAGTCCTATCTATCTAGGACTATCTATCTATTTTCTTCCCACAACGGCCAATGAGATGCCTCTTAGAAACCCAGAGGAGAGCAAGTGAGAACCAATTCTTCCCATTAACATGTCTCAACAACTAGTATCTAGAAGCATGCCAAAACAGGAGATTATGCCATGATTACCAGCAACTAACAACTTTTATCCTCTGTCTATAGATTTTTGGCACTGTGTACCTTTGTATACTTGGCCTCTGATGATAGAAACTACAGAGAAAGAACATGGATGGGTGCAACAAGCTGAAACATTTCTCATACAGCAGTGGTTCTCAACCTTTCTAATGCCGTGACCCCATAATACAGTTCCCCATGTTGTGGTGACCCCCAACCACTTATACATCACCGGGTGCCAGGGGCGTGGCCAAAGAAAAGGGGAAAAAAATGGCGGACAGCCTTGTTTGGCGACCCCTGTGAAACGGTCGTTCGACTCCAAATGGGGTCCGACCCACAGGTTGAGAACCACTGTCATACAGGATATGATAAAATGTTTCTTGTGACTTTTAGTGGGGAAGTTGTGCCTTACATAAAACAAGATATATTACTTCATGTACTTCTAATAATTATAGCCAAGCTGTTTAATTACATTGAAGTCTCAGGATAAGCTTCAATGGGCAAACTGAGAGAATACCAGCATATTTCTCACAGCAAAAGAAGAGTAAGATCTTCTTCCTTCTTGATTAATGACTTCGACAAATATTTGGAAACAATAAGAATTTATCTCTTAAAGTTGATTCTTATGCAAATGCAAAATATACTATTTGTCTTTTGATTTCAATCCTACTCTAGAAAAAATAGTCTGATGGAGTGTCTAGGACCGACAGAATGCTAGTTACTGCTAAAGAAAATGGGGAACATGCCATTTAATCCTACCTGCCATTTTTGTCCCGGGAGTTGACATCTGCCCCATGATCTAGAAGGTATTTGCATACTTCAGAGTGGCCATTTTGTACTGTAAGTAAGAAAGGTGTATTTCCTTCCTGGAGAAAATATTGAAAAAAAATTATACCCTATTTATTATTCAATTGAAGTCAAATAGATCAACACATTTATAACAAGATATGCACCACAGAAATTAGAAACACCCAGAAACTGGAAACAACGGAATAGAGGTAATCCCTGAGTTGCGAACGTTCCGTTAGTATTCGCAGTTATGCAATAAGCGCCCCCTAGTGCTTACAAGCAAGTCCTGAAATTACAAATGTTGCCACACCACGGCAGTCATTCATTCTTATAAGCAACCGCAGTGGCACTGCAACATTCGCCCCGGTTATTCCCCCCCCCCCCGGTCTCCCTAGGCATTAGGTCTTTAATATTCACCCTGCAAAGATGGAGATCCTTCACTTTCTTGGCTGCTCCAGGCCTTCAGTGTGTTCACAGAGAATGGAGGCCTAAAGTAACACAAGATCACGCAACATCAGTGGCGCGAGATCTCACGCTACTGATCTCACATGATGTCATGGTACTTTTGGCCTCTGTTCTCTGCAATAGAGAACAGAACCAAAGCTGGGGGATGTTTCCATGTGCCTTCAGAGGCTGGATCTGGGCATTGGAGGCCTTTTCCAGGCCGCTGCCATCCAGATCTGAGGCCGGGAACACTTCCACGGCCCTCCTGAGGCTGGATCCGGGTGTCGGAGGCCTTTTCCAGGCTGCTGCTACTACTGCCGCCCAGATCTGAGGGGATCAAATAATTTTTCCCTCACTGTATCTCAGTGACCTTTTGTACCCAAGTGTTAAATACCTTCCTTGTAACAAAATGTACCTATTGCTATAAAATTATTACTCATCCTACAGTAATATGCATGGAAATATCCAGTCAGTTCAGGTACTGTGTATATTTACTGTTATTTTTGTAGACCATGGGGGAGGGGGGAGTATAATTTTTAGCCTGAGCTTATCCAATAAGTTTCTCATCCAGGTACTAACCAGTGTTGTTATCTACTGAACCTAAGCAGAACCCCCAAGCAGCTCCTACTGCTCTCATGCTCATGGGATTGGTGTGCATAACTTGAAAATAAACAATACAACCACTTAGTTATTGAAGTGAAAGGAATACTAAAAGAAAAGTTGGGTGAGATTGCCATCATTGTTGATCGTTATGCATAAAGCTACCTTTGAAAGAACTGGCAGTCCAGTTTTGCTCAAAAGTTACTTTCAGCCTTCTTTCTCTGAATGGAGTTGAATGGATTGCTTTACATAAAGCAAGTAAGAAAATGTAAAACTGAACCAAGATGTTTAATGAAGTTAGATAGCTCAGACATGGAATAAGAAACAGAAATTACCATAAATAAAGAGGTTACAATGGCAATAGTAATCAAATGGAAATAAACATGACCCACGACTGCCAGTTGTTATCCAGCAGTGATGGTGAACCTTTTAGAGACCAAGTGCCCAAACTGCAACCCCAAACCCACTTATTTACAGCAAAGTGCCAGGGCTGCATCAGCATTGTGGTGCCCCAGGGGGGGATCTTGGCCCATTGGGTGGGCATGGCTGCAGTGGTCACGGCAGACTGGGTGAGCGTGGCTGGGGCCAGTCCCTCGCCATCTCCAGGGCATCCTCGGCGGGCCAACACCACTTGCTCACTCACTTCCTGCCTTGTCACTTCCAAACGCCATGTGCTCGCTACTCTGGCAAACTCTGCTTGGGAAATGGCACGCATGCCCACAGAGAGGGCTCTGAGTGCCGCCTCTGGCACACGTGCCATAGGTTCTCCACCACTGTTACACAGCATCAAACCTCCTCTCATTATGAAACTATTGCAATGTTATTCTTTTAATACTTAGATGAACATTTCTCATTTATGTCTTCTGAATTTCTGATCCTGGTGCAGAACCAGATATCAAAGTAAAAGCACTTGATACTTTATATAGCAGATGGCATTTTTTACTGCATGCTTTCTCATTAATAACAGCACATCTGAAAGTGAAATTGAGTGGTTATAAATATCTATATTGGGATATCTTCAACTGGACTGCAAAATTATTAAAAATAATAGAATAAGGAACACCAAACAAAATAGCTGACTAAGTTTTAATAAGATTTCAGGAACTGAAGGATGTTTAAAAGCTTAAAAGGATACAAGAATTGTGAATGAGATCATAATTACATACCACATCTTTTATGTTAATTGGACACTTGTGTTCACACAGGTGCTGAGTTATTTGAAGGTAACCATAGGTAGCTTAAGAAGGGAAAAAAAGAATTGTAAAATTAGAAGATCTGCAGTATACTATTAAAACTCGCCTGTTTGTCAGTTTGCAATCTTCAACTGACAACAATTTTTGAAACAGTATACCTCAAATGGGGTAATTTAAAGAATGTGTCCAAAATCTGGGACCTATAAATCCTATGGGATTAAAATTTGGTGAAGTCGCTCCAATTTCTACCGTTTTTTTGCCAATCTGTTGTCATTCTGCTTGTCTGTTTAAGTAAAGAAGTATCTCTGAAACAGAGATCTCTGAAACAATCCAATGGGTCATGGATTGTCTAGTCTTTTTTGAAGTCCTTTTAGAAGGTCACTTCAGGGTAGAGCTGTACCAGGTGACTATATTTTTCACGTTCAACGGCTAGAACACGTATTCATCACATTTTCATGGGCTACACCCTCATTTTTTTAGAGCTATGCAATGCTTCTTGTTTGAAGTCAAAAGGATGCTTCAGAGCATGTAGCACATTAGCATACTGTAGCAGCCTCGTGTTTTCCCAGGATAGTGCAACTGTAATGGTGATTCATGTGACTGAAGGACACTGCAAAGATTATAAGTGGACCATAAAGGCTAATAAATTTAATAAATAAATTAATAAATAAATAAATATCATTATCTTTTCAGCACCATTGTTATTTCAGTCCTTGACAAATGGTCATTAAGTGAGGACTATCTCCATCAAGTACTACTGGAAATATACTTAGCAAAGCCCATTTAACTGTGTCTTTATTATGGGAATATAATGAAAGCAATTAAAATAATTAGTGACCTGATGTGGTCAGCTCAGTCTTACCCTCCTTATTTGTCAAAGTTCTTACTGAACTTTAAGTAGAAGGCACAAATTATACTAGATCAGTGTTTCTCAACCTTGACAATTTTAAGGGAGAGTTGAAGTCCACATGCCTTAAAATTGTCAAGGTTGAGAAACACTGTACTAGATAGAATGGAAGCAAGACAATAATGTAATACCTGCATAGTGTAAAGCAGTTTTCCCGGAGCTATCTGTGTTCTCTGCTGGACATTTGGACTGTAGAATGGGAAAAAAGAAGCCTTAGTAAAATACAGAACACAAAGGATTTTGAAAGTTAAGATTGTAATACTGTATGGGAGAAATGTTTTTTTGTGTGAATATCAAACTAATATCAAACTATTGAATGCTATCCAGAATTAACTAGATGTTCAGGACAAAATTAATCTGAATGTTTTTAGAAAGGGATTAAATCCATTTTGCAAAGTTGATCATCCAATACCACTTGGTTGCAAGACTGCAAGAAGTGAAGCAATGTGCTTTTGACTGGTTGAAACTTAGAGAGGACATGTCAAAAATAGATGTGAGCAATTACTAAATTACTAAATGTTTAATAATAATTTCTTTGACTGAAATTTTTTTTTTTTTAGATTTCCAGCAAAAGAAAAATAAATGGATAACTGGTGTTGTCAGAGATTTTGGTTTTCCTAGGAAGTCTACATTATTTCTAATGTAAATGGTTTGTTCCAGAATGCTTTCAGATTGGACTGGCTAAAGTGCTTGAATTTCCTGAAGATTTCTTATCTGAAGGCTAACCAAGTTCATGCCTGCTTAATTTCTGAGCACAATGTCAATTCTGAACTTCGTTAAGTGGTTTTACACCCCCTGTATATCAGTCCTACCCAAAAATGCTGACTAAAGACTATGGTGAGTCTACTGAATTAGAAAGGGGTGGCGGATATTACAAAATTAGACAGAGGATTGAAATCCATTCACAGGGGACAATATATTGGATTTTTTTTTTAGAGAGCGCCTTTCTCTCCATCTCATTTTGTAGTGTAACATTTTGGGAGAAGTGGAAAACCATATAGAAATCTGATACCAACATCTAATTGCATGGGTCTATACCAGAATCCAGCCAAGAAGATTTTTCTACTCCATTATAAAAATGAAGAGCTTGATTCATTGCTTAAGCAATGAATCATATGTGGTTGTGAAGAAACTGGACACTCACTATTTTCAACTAGCAAATCTAGCACTTTCCACAACAAACAATTTATTTAGGCAATTGCAGCTCTTCTTACTCTCTAGCCTGACATTAAATCATTCTTGTCAGATGTTAAAGATCAACATTTACCACTCATAGTACATGCAATTATATGGCATTTTATGTGAAATGTTCCCACTAGAATCATACAAGCAAAAAGAAACTGTGGAGCAGGCATCTTAGTGAAGCACCATTAAACTGTGATGAAAGAGAAAGCAGCAAACAACTATATAATCTAAGGATCTCCTACTCACAAGCCCAGGACTTAAAACAATTCAGTAATTTAGATGGACCCTGTGCAAACTCTTCAATCCCTTTAATTGCTACTTGCAGAGAGAAGGTTAATGTAGGCTGACACTGAATCAGAAAACCAGAAGTGCTGGGGGGCGGGGAATAAAGCATCTTACCTGAAGAAGTCTCTTGATGCAGTCAACATGGTTATTCTTGGCCGCAAGGTGTAAAGCACTGTGCCCTATGCAAATATTTCATAATTATTTCAGGCCCACTAAAAATGAAATGAATACTGTTCAAAACCTTAGCTTGAAGTACTAAGTGGGCATGTCTTTAGATTCAAAAATCTCCATCTCCCTCACAGAGTTATAGGAGTGACATAAGCAGAAACAGACATATTCAACAAATGTACTAATATTCTCTTCCCTACCTCCAAGATTAAGTACATGTTATATTTAAATGAGAACAAAAGATGTTTGGCTTCATCATTTTGTACTTGGTATAAGCCCTGCTTAAATGCTACATATACATCTGTCATAAAGAGATGGGCTTCAGGGAGTCTGAAGTAGCGAAACCAAATAGCAGGCTATAATTTGGCTGCAGAAAATTTGCACTCAGATTTCAGTACTTATAGAATGTGGGCTGGCTAACAGATATGTTGATTCCATTCACAGTAAGCTGCATTTAGTTTATTCATTAGATGTATATTGCTGTCTATCTCAACTACATGATGCTTGGCGGCTCCCAATATTAAAAATAATAAAGCCACCCAAAAAACCCATATAAAACATATATCTATGAAATCAACATAACCAGAAAATCATACAGTCAACACAAGATGGGTAGGTGTCATGGCAGAAATAGTTCTCCTCCTGAGCTCTGCCAAATGACACTTCCTAGCAGATGGGAGCTGGAGCAAGCCTCTCCTATCATACAAAACAGTACTGAAAGAATCAATCCAGGAGAAATAAATTGGTCCGAAGCCCTAAAAATTGTGGTACATCCCAAACAAAACAAAACGAACAAAATAAGGTTGTGGGGCAGAACAGAATACAGTTGTAGAACACATGAGCAGGATGCAATAGTAATAACAACAACAAATAGTTTATGTCATTTCTGGATAAGTCAACTGGGGAGACTAATTTGAAATACTGGAAAGCTGCTACTAATCCGAATACAAATATTTACCTCAAACAGAACAATGATTTTAGTACAAGGCAGTCTTTCTCATTCCTGCATTCTCCAGAAGTGTTGGCTGCAATTCAAATGTTCAACTAACTATAATGTGAACTCTAGTCTAACCTACCTGTGCAGCACTAGATATGGGAACGTTGAACTTATCTCCATACATCCATATATAGGTCCAAAGCATCCATCCACAGACTTGCTTAACTTTGGATTATTCAGATGTATTTAAATAACATGGGATGGATGCAGTGGTGGGATTCAAATATGTGAACAACCGGTTCTCTGTGTGGATGCTGCTTCTGGAAGTCCATTCTGGGCCTGGGCAACAAAAAAATTAGCTACCGGTTCTGCCAAAGTGGTGCGAACCGGCTGAATCCCACCACTGGATGGGCAGAAAGGATAGAAACTGTAGTCCAATGTACCTGGATGGTACTGCATTAGAGAAGGTAGAAGCCAACCCTTCAAGATAGACGAGACTAAGGAACCTAAGGAATCAAACAAAGTCTAATACTACTTTTATTGTAAATTTATAGTAAATTTTATTGTACATTTACAGTAATAGAATCTTGCAAGTCGGAATGTGTCTCTGCCTGCTTCTTTATGTGTACTTAGAAAAGCTTGTCTTAGATGTTTGTATACATAACAGTTCTGGCCCGGGCTCAGGTTTCCTTTATCCAACTGTTGTCTTGGCACTGATTCTTCCTTCTGTTCCTCAAAGCCATTCTCTCTGCCTCTACAGTAGCTATGAGCCACAAAAGCAAAGAATGCCAGGAGAATATGCCCATCCATATACGCACACACACAAACATATCTTTTCATATTAAACAGATAATTTGAGTACCTGTTCCATCCAGAGTTGTAACATCTGCGCCATGTGTAATCATAAGCCTGAGACATTCGCTATATCCTTTAGAGGCAGCAAGATGGAAGCTGAAAGAAAGAATTATAATGTCTCTAGTCAGTTCCATAATAAGTGATACGAAAATGTTTCTGGTGGATCACATCAATCTTTGCCTCTGAATGACTTTGCTTGAATAATGTACGTATCTCCTACTTTAATTCTAAGAAGTCAAGGAAATGTGCTCAGAGTAAGATGGAAATTAAACTCCAAGACATTATTGAAAGCCTCAGGGTCACCCAACACAATTCAGAGCCAAGGAAGGTTCCCCAGGCTGGGTTTGACCCACTTATCAGAATGATGCTCATACAAAATCATAATTAAAAAGCTTAGAGCAGATGCCTCTCAAAAACACTTGTAATACAACTAACCTATTATAAGCACTTTTGGAAGCTTTTAGGAATAATGGCAAGCAGCTAAAGGTTTCATTAATAAAATCAGTAAAAAAAAATATCAGCTGGTAATTTTCAGTATAACAAAGATCTGAAACTTAATTCCAATGATCTGTCAAGATCACCAACTTTGTTTATAGCCAAGAAGGGAAATTAATTCTAGGGCAAGTTAAAAGTCTTCCACATTAAATCCTTTCAAACAGGGAGAAAAAAGATTATATTCCTATAAAAGTGTAAGGGGAAGGGTGGCCTTCAGAAGAACTTATTGTTAAAACTTTTTAAAAAACAGGTTGTTAGGATTGTGAAATGTCTGTTCTGACCCTAGTTATATAACTGCACATTAAATAATACCTGATATTTCAACATTACAAAAAATCACAATTGAAAAGATCCATTGATTATAGACCTCTGCAATCATACAGAAACGGATATTTACCTCTCTTTACTAAAGAAATACAAAATTCTCTGCAGAATATTGATATAAGTCTGAAATAAAATGTTCATATAACCAAAACATCTCCGCAACTAGCTATCAACACCCAGATAAGCAAGGGTTAACACAAAGATTAACACCAGACAAACAATCAAGCAGTAAACAATACATTAATCAAGGAACTACCAACTCAGATAAACAAAAGCTTAATCAAGGAATTATCAAGGAGAAAACATCACTCCCACTAATACTGGCAGGTCAAGCTACTATATATAAAACAGAGAGCAAACCCCACTCCCCACTTCCTTGCAGATGTCTTCAGTGCAAACAGAGTACAAACAGAGCACTCTGAAAAGAAATAATCAAGCCCAGAGAGCACCAAGGACGCCTCTGATATAAGTCTACGTACAAAGATAATCAGGATGCTGAAAACTATAGGACACTACATATTTGCTTCCAGTGAAACCTATAATTCTAAATGATATCCTGTTGTCAAACCAATTCTTTTCTCCAAACAGATATCAGCATGATTTCTAAGCTATCTTATATGTGGAAGCTCTCCCAAAATGGTTTATGTATACAAGTAAATAAAGATTAAAACATTTAACTCCAATAAAATGTCAGTCTAAATTCTGGTTTATGTAGAAATATATGTTTGTACAGGTAGCCCTGACTTTGTGACTATTTGCAGTTATGACAGTGATGAAAACAACTTTGCCACCAATCCTTGCATTTAACAAGCCTTGTTTTTTTGAGAGATGTTCCATCAAGTTGATGGTGTCAACTGTGGTCGCTAAAGGAGGCCTTGCTGTATCCTGTTTCCAAATGGCTATGTTAATTTGTGGCAGAAAGAATAGAAGCTCTCAAGTGTTCTAAAGGCTAACCTGTATGTCTCACAAACATTTTTCAACTATTGTACAGTCCATCTCTTCAAATTTATAGAATGTTCTCTTCATCATAGGCATTTTATCAGCCCCTCAGAGAGAGTGAGTATTATATAATGGCAGCAGTTTTGGCACCTGGTATTCCATGGGAAATGGAAGGGATTTTATGTCTAGGGAAATTCTCAGTCATTCCAGGTCAAAAGTCCTTTTTAAAGGCAACTGAACTATGCTTTTTTTTTTCTTTTAAGGAAGAAGAAGTTTCGCTTCTCATCCAAGAAGTTTCATCAATTCTGGCTGGATGGTAGGGAGGGGGAATGGAAAGATTAGTTCTGATAGGATGTTGGGTGGTGGTGGAAAGAGTATATTGCTTTGCAGTCATCCTGGTCATTAGCACTCTCTCTGAGAGCCATTGAGGCCACCTGGGGGCACAGATACACCCCCCAAGTGGCCTCAATGGCTCTCAGGGAGTGCTAACATAATTGCAAAGAAATATAATCCTTCCACCACGCCCAACATTTTGTCAGAATTAATCCTTCCATCCAGACAGAACTGATGAAGCTTCTTGGATGAAAAATGAAATTTCTTCTTCCTCAAGGGAAAAAAAACATTATCCAGTTGCCTTTTGAAAAAGCACCTTTGAGGAGGGGGGTTTTATTATAGAGAAACAATTTATGATAATGCTTCTTCATGTCTAATGCTCTGGTTCCCAACACACACAATATGGCAAACCTGGGCTTGTGAGAACCTTGTTTTTCTAGTAGTGTGTTTTCAAACATGAAAAAAATTCACACAAGCAATTCTGTGCTATAAACAGGTCTATACACAAGCAAAGGAATTTACAAAATACATTTAGAACTCCCTGAAAAAATGTTTTTGACTGTATATGAGGAATAATGACCAAGAACACAAAATTGTTTACCAAGGCATCAACAGGATGAATTTTTAAAACAGTTTGTTCCCATGAAATGTTCCCTGAACTATTTAAACATGGATGGTTAGGGAAAAGACCACGTCCTCACCAACAGCCTAGCTTCTAAACTTCCAAACAAAATAAAATATATTAGACTAAAAAGACATACGCAAGATAGAGATATCTTGTGGTAGAAACGTGCAAACCACACTTCAGGGGAGTTTATATTTCAGCAGTATCTGCCTTAATTAAAATACTTGCATAGCAACAGTTTGGCTAAAGCAGTGACAGATGTAATCTTCATGCCAACTTCTCTGTTTGTGAAACAAACTGTGCCAAGTGTAACACATTTCACTGTAATGAATTTTAGAGACAAACAAAAAGCCTGCTGGTAAAATGTGCATAAAATACATGAACTTCCCTTTCTGGAATTTAAACACCAGGTAAAAGGTACTTTGCTTGTTCATAATGCAAAAATTATTTAGAGGGCAACATAACGGATAATGAACTCTATTTTCTCATCATAGAGTAGGTGATCTAAAGACCTCCTAACCAGATTTATCAGTGGAGTCAAATTACTGATGAGAACTGCCAGAGATTGGGTCATAGACTGGTTTGCTGCAGATGCTGGGGAGTGCAACCTCCTAATAAAACATGAAAATAAAATCTCACATCATCACCAAATCTTATTCCTCAAATAAGATTTTTTTTCTTAGATAAGATCTCAGTCTCAGGATGGGACTCTCAAACTCTATGAGATTTTAGGATCTGAGGGGTCCTTAGTGCTATCTGATCCTGATTGTTTTCTTGCACAAGTTTCATTACACAAACTAGGTAACACCTTATACTAATGATGTTACCTTGTTTGGATAAGGAAATGTCTGCAAGAAAACCACCAAGCTGAGAGATCACCAAGGACTCCCTAATTTCAATCCTGAGCTACAAATATTTTCTTTTATTGGTATTTTAGGATCTTTTTCAGCTCATGGATGACACTAGTCTCTGTTAACAGCAGAGGTGATCAAAAGTCACCAAATCAGCTGCTCTTCATATCTTTGGCAAATGAACCTTTGTGGCCAGAACTCTGTTGTGTAGACGGAAACAGATAGCAGTTGCTACAAGGACCCCAAAAGGCTATTCCAAGCTACTAAGCACACCATTTGCTTTACATTAACTACTGATTAGGATATATTTATTTGCAATAGCATCATATGAAATTTACTGTAAACGAACATTCAATGTGGACTAAAGATTTGTGGACTTTGACTCCCAGAATTCCCTGTTGGCTAGGGAATTCTGGGAGTTGAAATCCACACATTGGACTAGAGCAGTGGTTCTCAACCTTTCTAATGCCGCGACCCCATAATACAGTTCCCCATGTTGTGGTGACCCCCAACCACTTATACATCACCAGGTGCCAGGGACGTGGCCAAAGAAAAGGGGGAAAAAATGGTGGACAGCCTTGTTTGGCGACTCCCATGAAATGGTTGTTTGACCCCACAGGTTGAGAACCACTGGACTAGAGGCTTGTTCTGAGAGAAAACAGCATTATTTCTTCCCTCTTCTTTTCCTGATGCAAAGCTTCAGAATCTTTCAAGAAATCAGGATTAATTTGCCAACAACTTAATGATCTACAGCTTTCACAGACAAATGAAATTGCAGAAATAAAGATGCAATGATGTCAGCGCCTCTCCAGCAGCAGTGATAAAACTAGAGAAACCGAGACCCCTACAAAGATTTCTTTACATGGCTTATCGCTCCTAAAACCAAGACAAACTATTTATCAAAGCAGAGGGCCTTCCTCAGCTGCCATGGAGACAGCTCTGTCTTATGTGCTTGTGGCCTTTGAAGAGAGGTGAATGCCTTTCACTTCCTCTCTTGCTTAAAGTCTTCATTTGTCCCATAACTTCAGAAAAGTCAACAGACTTTGCTTGGCTTCTAAACCAGTTATGACTCAACTAGGGAATGCAATAACATGGAACTGATTTTTCTTAGGATCCGTTTACAAAAGGATCTTCCCCCATTCCTTGATTGTGGTGTGCAGAGTTGTCTCACACATGTAAGAGAGTAAATTAACCACAGTTCATTTGGTGACTATTCAAAGTTACAATGGCACTAAAAAAAGTGACCTATGACCGCTTTTCATAGTTACGACCTTTGTAGCATCCCTATCGCCATGTGATCAGAATTCAGTTGTTTGGCAACTGGTTCATATTTATGATGGCTGCAATGTCCTAGGATCACATGATCACCTTTTGAGACCTTCTGATAAGCAAAGTCAATGGGGAACCCAGATTTAATTAACTACTGGGTTACTAACTTAATAACTGCAGTGATTCACTTAGCAACTGTGATAAGAAATGTTGCAAAACGGGGCAAAACAACTAATGTCTCACTTAACAACAGAAATTTG